ATTCCAACCTCTCTCTAATGTACCCATACGTAACAGGCATTGTGAAATCCAGCTAAACTGGGCCTGTGCAGGAAATAAAATGTAGGTCTTCCCACTCAAGTCCTGAGCCTCATGTAAGCTGGTGGAATTGCCCTAGGGAAAAATCAGTTGTAGCTAACAAGGTCTATTCCTCAAAGGACAGTGTTTCTAGCAAAATCAAATCATTTAAATGAGCAGAAAATTAATGAAAACTCCCCAGACTGGGCTTCAGATCATTCCTGTCACCCTGGGATTGGTGCTCCGCCTGCTCAAAGCCATCCCCATCCCAGTCTCTCGGGCAGCAGCCACTCCTGTGGACCTTTCTCCTTCCACCTGAAAGAGAGCCCAGCTTGACTCTTGAATCCCAGGATGAGTTTGCAGGGCTGGCAGCAATGGTCTAAATGCACTCATTCATGGTTAATAAGGAAACAACGTCGCTATAATCATGGAAGCTCCTCTGTGCTACTGGCCACTAACTTTTGAGAGCAGAACTGCACTTTAAGGACTGCTCCTGCAAGCTCTGGGTGTGCAGAAATCCCAGTGAAATCAATAGGGCTGTAGGTTTGGATCCTGACAGAGCTGATTTTGCAGCATTGGACCCTGAACCACCTCTACTTTTGACTCTGTGGAAGTTCAGATCCGGATCAGAACTTCCTGGCTCTGGCCCATTTCTAAACAGAAATGCCATTTTAAAACGCAGCCTTAAAATAAATTAACCTCTGTGTGTGGCCGACAGCTTAGATTGGGAGAAACAGGTTGTACCTGTAGCAGCCAGCGTCCTTGAGCGCTGTATGATGGCTCCAGTAACCTCCACCACTTCCCATTCAGGAACCATATTCCTTTGTCAAATGTTCCTTTACTTTGCCAAGTTTCCCTACTTAATAATTTGTTAAAATTAACACAGAAAATCACTAGAAACAGGGAAAATAATCTGCAGTGCATAGGGGTGGGTGGGGAGCACCCTAATTTTGGAAGCATGTGTGATCACAATGCATAGTTATGTCTCTAATGCTGGTAGACACCCACTGGCAAAGACAACTGGAGAAACATGTGATAGGACAGTTGTCAAGGTAACTTCAGTTGTGTGTGTTTGTGTGGATACCACAGTAAACAGACTTGTAAAGCTAATGTAAATTGACAGTGCCTCTAATGGGCACGTTGCTGCTGATGGGGTGGTGAGAGAGACGGGAAGCTATCACTCTCATCAGAGCGATTTCACTCTGGAGGCAGAATCTTCTGCCCATGTTTACAATGGGCTTCGGCCATTAGAAACTCACTTGTTGCTTACATTGGCATGAATATAGCACGTGGTGAATGGTACTGGATAGAGAGCCCTGAAGACTGATGTCCTCTATTACATAAGAGGTGTGCCCCATAGTGATAGTGCAGGCTGTATTATAGTGCTGGAGGGATGGATTGACCTGATGTTAGATGGTATGGCTGGACCAGAATTTCTCAGGTGTCTCCATCAATTTATGGTGTATTTAAGCTTTCATTTAAAATAGTTTCCAGCCCCGAAGAAAAGTTTACAAAGGAGACTTTATGATGAAGTGCTGTCTTCAGAGTCTGCAGAAAGCCTGAAACAACGAGCATTTTATTTAAATGTGATGCTAATGCTGAAACCTAATGATAATGCAAATATTGTTAATTATTTTGCTGCTGAGTGGAGGACCTGAGTTCTGTCCTTTCTGACTGAAGTTCAGTGGGGCCGGGATGGTGTGTAGGATAGTGACAGTTGTGAAGTTATTTTGGCCGCCTGGCAACATGGACTGCAAGCTTGATAAGTGGCCTGAACGGATAATCTAGTTCTAATCTAGCTTGTAAATGCCTCTGTATCCTCTGATGAAATGTTGTTGTGTAACTTTGCTAAAGCAGCTCTTAGTAATTTGACCACAAGGTTTCTCTGGGCTTCCTACATAACATTGCGCTATTCCCCTCTACCCCTTTTCTGCAGTGACAGAAGTACCTCACTGCCTCAACTGCTAACTTCCACCGTCCTGGTATAATAATCATTCTATCTAGCCGTCCCAGCCTGTCTCTGCAGGGCCTGAAATTGGAGGCTCTCCATTAACTTCAATAGCTTTGGTCAGGCCCATAGGGAATAGCCTGTTTAAGTTTGCAGCCCTGTCACGCAGCCTGTAGGGTTATAGTGGTTTGTTTAGTAGGATGGGGGAAGAAAACAGTTACTCATTCATTCTCAGCACTTCTTCTTCACATGAATTCTGTTATAGAGCTGATTATTTTTTCCCATGGATCTGGCCCTAGTTCTTAATGATTTGCTGGCTGGAAGGTGAAAACACTATTCGCCATATGTGTGTGTTCTCATTCTTTTATGTTGCATATTTGATTTAGTTGGGGGTTGGTCCTGCTTTGAGCAGGGAGTTGGACTAGATGACCTCCTGAGGTCCCTTCCAACCCTGATATTCTATGATTCTATGATATGGTGGCCTTGTTGACTCTACTCTGGCTTACGAAGCCAGCAAGTGTTTGGGCGTGAGCAGAGGCTGCAGAGAGCTTTAGCCTGCATGACCATTCAGCTTGCCCTCAAGGGTCACCTGTAATCTGGCCAGCCAAGTCCCAAGCTGGGAGTCAGAAGACCCTGGGTTCTGGTCTCAACTCTGCCATTGATGCACTGCATGAGCATTGTCATTTAAACTCTTTGCCTTAGTTTGCTTAATCTGTAAAAACGTGTTTGCCCCCTTTTTAATGCACTTTGAGAACCTTGGATGAAAAACACGGTGTAAGTGCAAAGACGTTGTTATACATAGAGTAATATAGATTCATTAGTTCTTCCACTGTGGTCCACAGAGCACTTACCTATTGTACAAGGCTAGTCACAAAGCTTTAGCATCTCCTTGTTTCCAGTGCTAAATCGCATAAAAAGACAGCTGAAAAGACATTACTGCTATTAGCGGTATCACAGGAGCATGCAGAGGCCTCACCAGCAATCGAGGCTCCCATTGTGCTAAGTGCTATACAGACAGGTATTAAGAAACCATCTCCCTGCCCTGCAGAGATTTTAATCTAAATAGACAAAGGGTAGTTGCGTGTGCGTGTGAATAGAGGCACAGTGACTTGCCCAGTCCACTAGGAAGTCAGTGACCCAGCTAGGAATAGAAACCAGGTCTCCTAACTCCCTGTCCGCTAGACCATTCTGCCTCTCCTCACTTTCTGATCATGCTGTTTGTGCAAGCAAGCAATTGCTGTAGTGCTAATGGTGATGTCATGGGAGTGTGAACGAGAGGAGTGCAGAGCCCATGCAGTCTATCAACAGGAGGAGAGGTAGGTCCACAAGACCAGCTACATATTAGGGTGAACAGATAGCAAGTGTGAAAAATCGGGACGGGGGTGGGGGGTAATAGGAGCCTATATAAGAAAAAGCCCCAAATATCAGGACTGTCCTTATAAAATTGGAACATCTGGTCATCCTAGCTACGTATTAAGCTGTGCTCCACACTATGAAAGCATTTGAGCACCACTACTATAGTTGAAACCATTCCATGTATTGGGTGTTCAAGAAGCCTTCGCCTGGTTCATTGTAACCAAGGGGAGTGGGTCTTACCTCACCTACTTGTTGGTCTCATCCACCTGCTTTGTCTTGTCAGTTAGATTGTCAGCTCTCTGGGCCAGGGAATGTCATTTGCCATATGTTTATACGGTATCTAGCACAATGGGGCTGTGGCCTTATTGACCTCTAGATGCTACTGCAATATAACTGTTAAGACTAATAATTTAAAAGGTAGAGTCATACAAGAAGCACGAATGGAACAACCCGTATTTTTGTTTAATGTCTAGGGAGTGCTTTGAGAATAGAAAGTTTTATAAGTGGTCTGGAAATTCAGGCTCCTGCCTCTGCCAGTGTTGGTGGCAGGAGCTATCCCTGGCTTACTGATTTCCGCCTTCCCCTGGCTTACAACTGAGTCTCAGACACAGTCCAAATAAACAGTGATTTCCTTAAGACCTCCTCTCCGGGCTCCTCCCCCCCCCCCTTTTTTTTTTTTAAGGAAGCATTTTCCTGTTTGACGTCTTGGTGGTGGTTACCAGGAGGTGGCGCTGCTCCCCAGTGCTGAGATCAAGGGAACCCTTTTAGTTACATGATTTTTTTTTCCTCTAATGCAAATCATAAATAACGATCAAGGCAAATCGAGCATCAACAAACCCTCTAGCAATTCAGTGCAAGGAGAAAAGGGCGCCACCGATCTTAAAGTGAGCAGCTGCCGCTGAAAAGCAGTCGCTGGAGCGGGCAGGGAGAGCAGAGGAGATTTTGAGAGGTTAGGGTTTTTTGCTGTTGCCACATCAGGGAAGGAGAAGTTGGAAGGAGTTTGAAAGACAAAAGTTAGTAAAAATAGAATGTGTGGGCCTCTCACAACTTCCCAGGGTTTTATTAACTGAGCTGTCACATTCACACAGCATAGTGGTGGGTGTAATCCCTGCTCATTAGCAGCATGAGCTGATGGCCAACGGCCCCCCTTGGAAAGGGGCAGCACAGAGGGCTCTTTACCACAGCTGTTTCCTGCTGTGGCTCTTACCCCATCTGAGCTGGCCGCTCTGAGCGGCTTCCTCGGGGCTGTGTGTTTTCCAGAGCAGCTTGGACAAGCTGCGTGCCAGACCAGAAGCCATAACCCTCTCCTTCCCCACTCCAAGAAAAATATGGACAGCTCCTTAGAAGCTGGCTCTGTAGCTGCCCTGGGATCCGGGGGAGGGAGGGGAGAGAGCGAGCTAGAGGAGATGAACATGAAAAAGGCAGGGTATGGCTGGAAGGATTTAGAAGCTGCCAGAAACTGAGTGGGCATTTCTAAGCTCCCTGAGGAGAGCACTGATGTACGCGTGGTATTGGTGGGAGGCTGGCTAGAGAGGACAGGGTTGCCTCTACCCTTAGCAGAGCTGGCTAGTGAATAAAAAATGATCCCATGGCTGCTTAAAGGCTATGGCTCTGGTGCATAAAGTTCCTAATATTGTGTGTCTCTCTCTGATTCCTGCAGATGTTTGTTATTGAGAAGATTGAGGGGATCCACTGCAGCCTACATGAGTTCAGTATCACAGGATCCACCTATACCCCGGAGGGAGAGATGTGAGTACTGACGCCTGGGGCAGACCGGGGTTGGGCTATGCAGAGTTTTTAGCAACTCCCTGGTGCTGAGCAACTGGTAGTCTCTGTGCAAAACTCATTTTCTACAGTGTGGCCTAGTAGATAGAGGACTGGACTGGGATTCAGGAGAACTAGGTTCTATTCCCAGCTTTGCCACTGGCCTGCGAGGCGACCTTGGGCAAGTCACTTCACCTATCTGCGCCTCAGTTTCCCCATCTGTAAAATAAGGATAATGATACTGACCTTCATAAAACACTTTGAGATCTACTGAGGAAAAGCCGTAAATATGAGCTGGGCATTATTATTCTTATTAATGGAAAGCGCTTTCCAGGTAGTATAGCAAAGTGAGAAATGAGACACTCGGATTGTGCCCGTAAATGTGGCCCTGGATGCAGACTAAATGGGAAGGATGATCTTGTGGCTAACTTGCTGGCCCAGAACTTGGGACCAATTCCGGTTCAGTTCCCAGCTCTGTCACAGACTGCACATGAGAATGCTGTAGTCTTCCCGTTCCTGTGTTGATACCAATAGATCCTGTATACAGGGCGAAATCCACCCCAGGGCAGTGAACCTGCACTAGGCCATATGAGACCGTCTACAGTCACTTAAGTTCCATATTAAGGGCTTAGCTTGTACATAGGGCATTGTGCAGGCCCTCTGGATGGTGTGAATTTCACCTGTAAGATCTAATATTCGCCCATATGGGTGAACGTTATTAAGGTTCCACATGGGATACAGTTTGTACTAAGGGGCCATGGGAGTGCAGCATGGAAACGCAAGCAAGTGGACATCAAAAGCTGATCGATCAGTGTTCTTGTTTACATCAACATCCTGTGCACACAGCACATCACACTGTGGGGAGTGAGTCATCTAGCATGTCATCACCTCAGGCAACCTAATGCAGTTTGACTGACTGTCCTGTCCTCCCTCTCTCTGAGCTGAGAAATATGCATAATACAGACTTCCCTACCAAGGTGCACCTAACTTCATGTTAAGAGGTGTTAAATAGATTTGAGCAAACTCTTTGCTTTCATCCTGATGTATGTGTAATAAGCTGCCTGTGGGATAATGCCATATAAAAACATGATCATGCTGGTAGCTTAGTTTCAGCTGGAGAGTGGTATGTCCTACCGGTATGTCACTTGGGAGCTCTTTTAATTAAGACTCAGTGGTGAGGTACATAATTCTGAGCTTTTCTGTCCCCATCTTGTGAGAGTCACAAGGCATTCAATTAGACTCCCAGTACTCCCTTTCTGCTATGAACTGTGCTCATTGTAAAACCAGGGAAGGATTTTCTGGGGCCAAATCACTTTGGGCTGCTGCTCACCAGCCCTGATCAGGAATATGGAGCAGATCTCCCTGCAATGTTACTAGGAAATTAATCATTGTTTAGGAAAAGCAATCCGCAGGAGATGGTGTACTCTGGGGCCACTCTGAATTTAAACTAGAAGAGGGTGAAAAGCTCAGAGTGGATGGCCTGGTGGCTGAAGTACAGGACTGGGAGTCAGTAGATCTGTTCCAGATCATTTGCTTTTTGACTACTGAAAAGTCACTCAGCTTCTCTGTGTCTCTCTTCCCCCATGTGTTAATTGAGTATAACACATCCCAAAATTGCAACACCTGTTTCTTTTCAAGGACTGATCTACACCAAAGCATCTAATGGGAAAATGCACTTGGAACTGGATGATTTTTGTCGCCTTGTCTTTTTTAGCACCTTCCTCCCAGCTCCTTCTGTGTATTGAATGGGACTAAAATCACTCCTATTCAGTTAATAACATATTAGTAATTAAATGCACAAAATCCACCCCCAGTCCTCCTCAGGCTGTCTGGAATGAAATACTTTGAGGAACAACTTTCCAGCCAAGAACTCACAGGACTGGTGCTGCGAGGTTCTCTGGAGCCCTGTGTTCAGTTCTGATTAGTTGTCTTTGTGGCTGTCTTGTCCATAGGGAGCATTCAATTCCCTTCTGCAGCTCTTAAAAATACTCTTGCTTCCATTCAAAAAATGACTCTAACGGCCATATCCATAATAAATGTCCTTCCATTGTCTGAGCAATCAGATCTGTGGGCCTGACTCTTACTTCAATCACAGGAGTCTTGCATTGATGTAATTCTACGGACCCCAAAAGAGTTTATATGTGGTTTACGCCAGAATGAGAGTGAAGAAAATCAGTCTGAAGAGATCCAATTTGGCATACAGACTCCGGGGGGCTTTGAAACACCACAGACAGATTTGGTCCTGTGGGATTCCTTGTATTTTACCTATTTCTGGTAAAATAAATGTAGATGAGTCCACCTGAAGGTTTTGTTGAATGAATTTTCAAGCAGCTGTTGTGGGATGGGAGAAAGGAAGTGTTAATACCCGCATTGACAGATGGGGGAATGTAAGGACACAGAGTAAGTGACTTGTCCAAAGCCCACAAGGAATCTGTGGCAGAGCCAGGATCAGAACCTGGATTTCCTGAGTCCCAGTGTAGTGCCTTATCCACCCTCCCTGTCAAACAAACCAGCAAACAATCATGCTAAGAGTGTGGTTTCATACTGTGGACCTCCATGGTGTGTGTAAGTTCAATGAAAAATGAAAACAAAGGTGCAGTAATTTTGGGAGAGGTTTAATTTCTGTCTGAGGATTATTTTTTTATAAATTTCAAATGTGTGATGGGACTTGTAGACATGTTGAGGTGGGGAAATCATTTTATGTATTTAATTCCTTTAGCTGTTGTCACTCATAGATCTCAAAGCATTTTACAAAGGAGAGCTTGGATCCTTATCCCCATTTTATAGACGGGGAAGTGACTTGTCCTAGGTGTTGCAGGAAGTCTGTGGCAGAGGTGAGAATAGAACACAGGTGTGCTAGCTCTCAGTCCAGAGCTCTCCCACCCCCACCCCCCAGCCATGCTATCTCAAAAGAGATTCTAGCATTTCCAGCTCCAATTTATATTTGAAGTTTTCTTAATAGCTTTTTAAAAATCCTAAATATCATCAAACTCCCTTTCTTTTTTAAATTTCCTTCCCCGCCGCCTTCTGAACTCAGGGTAATCCCGCGTTGTCACTGACCAGGAGAATTGCTGTCTCTGCCCTCGCTGCATCCTGTATTTAAACCGGACAGCTTTTTGTCACTATGAAAACAGCTTTTTCCAACTTCCTTGGCCCCTGCCGGCTTTCCACTCTCAAGCTGTAACAAGGGCTCCAGAATGTTCTTTCCATTAGGAACTTACAGTGGAATAAACTGATGATAATGAATGTCTGACAAATTATTTTTCCAGCTAAAGAATGACCAGCTGAGTTTATACAGCCCTAAACTGCAGTTACCTCTGCTTGAGTTAGGGTAATTTTCCTGTTTCCCCTGAAGACGGCCGCTGACTTTTAACCATAATGCGGCAGCCTGCTCACACAAACAAGAAATGGCATTTGGTTCCTTAAATGGTGATTGTGCAGAGCTGTGACTGATGCCTTTCCTCTGTTGGCTTTGACTCTTGTTCATGGTCACAGGCCATTCGAGAAGTTCAGGGGTCTAGCAGTCACACTGTTCTTCATTAGAGAGTGTTTGAAAGCTGTTCCCATTGGATGCACGTTTGCTGCCCTATGTGAAATGAGTTTGGGGGCTTTTCTAGCAGCTCACCACCAGAATTAATAATACCTAGCTCTTATCTAGTGCTTTTTATCAGTAGATCTCAAAAGCACTTCACAAAAGAGGTCAGTAGCATTGTCCCCTGCAATTGGGATCCTTGCTGGCAGTCTGAGCAGAGAATTTTGCAACTGGATTAGTATGGAGTCTAATGGAACCAGCCTTTTCTAATGCAGAGCCTTTCAACCATGGATGCTGGAATACTTTGACCATTGCCTCACAGCAATGTTAACTCCATTCTACAGGTGGGAAAACTGAGGCACAAACAAGTGACATGTCCAAGTTCTCACAGCCAGAGGAGGGTGTAAGAGCTGTGTAACTCCACACTGGTGATAAACCTTAGGAGAGAAGCAAATGGGATAAAGAATGTTATAGCCATGTACTACTAGGAAAGAGATGGACCCTTCACCATAGGTTCTCTGAAGCCACTAAGGAGTTTTCCAGTCTCTTTTTGATGGAATTAAGATCATCACAGGATCCGGCCTTACTTTGGCCAAGCAGGCGTTTCTATGATTATTGGTCAGATGAAGGAAACTGAAGAATTGTTTAATTATTTTCCTTGTTTTAGTCCTTTCAGTCTTTGAGCATATCAGAATGTGATCATTCACTTCTTCTTACGGTTTCATAGCACCTCTGCCTGTTTAGGATGTATTGTTTGTATTACAGTAATACCTAGAGGTTGCAGCTGAGCTCAGGGCCCCATTGTGCTGGGTGCGGTACAAACATAGCAAGGGACAGTCCTGACCTGAACTACTCCTAGTCTAGGTAGACCTGGCAGACAAAGGGCAGGAGGGGAAATGAATTGTCCCTGGTGATGCAGTGTGTGAGCGGCAGTGGTGAAAATAGAATTGAGATCTCCAGGTGCCCTATCCACAAGACCATTCTGATTCTCATTTAAAAAAAAAAAATACAACCCCCCAGAGGCCTTAGCATGTGTGTACTGATTACGTTCTAATTTGGATAACTGCATTCTGCCCACCTAAACCTGCCCTGATTAAGCAATTCTCCTTCACTTCCTGTCACAAAGTGCTGTGGTTGCCATGTGCGGCCTTCCATGGCTGAACTTCTGGTGAGGGCAGGGTGATTCCAACAGGTGGAGTTTGTAAAGCACTCGAGGCTCCTTTGGGAGGAGAGATGTAGCCACATGTGTTATAACTAGGATGGACTGAATGTAAAAGTCTTTAACTCTCTGGACTTGCTGGTTACATAAACTTCTTCCCCCTCCCCCAGTGGTTTTAGAGACATTGGCTCCCCTTTTATTAGTGAAGTGCTAGTGCATTGCAGCCGTACTTAGGCAGAGATGTTTATGAATGTCTCATCAAAGGGTACAGTTTGTCTCTCTTGCTTAGGAACAGCTAATCGAGAGCAGTTGCTGCACTCATCCTCCTTAAATATCCTTGTGTGCACTGTTCTGCTCTGCGCAACTCTTAAGAAATTGCTTGGGGTGGACGGGAGGCTTTTCCCACCAGTTCTGGGCTCTGTTGGATACATGCAGAAATCTTGAACTCCTTGGAATATTCAGCCTTCACGCTGTTCCCTATCCTGCCATCTGTCTCCTTTACCCCTTCTTTATTCCACCTCTTTGCCCCTTTCTAATCTTCCCTCATCCTTTCTGTGGGCCTGAACTAATGCCCACTAAAGCTTTGGGTCAGAACATGTTTGTGTGTGGATCATCATTGCTGTACATTGTCTTCAACAATGAGGGCAAGGTTTGCAGCCCCTTTCATTGCCCCTGCACATCTGAGGTTATTAATCTGTGCCCTGACTGGCTATGGACTCTTTGAGACCAAACAAGCTGTCTCTTAAACACAGCTACATTCCAGCTGCCCCTGGAGAAAAAGTAGGGTTGCTTTTGAATCCAGATCTCCTATGCTACTGGAATGGCAGAGTCTTTCTCTTCAGATGTTTACTAACTCCGCTGTTCAAACCTGGTTGACAACGACATATTGTGATCTTTTCTTTCCACTCAAAAAAGAGTCCTACGAAAAGTAGAAACTAGGTCAAATTACCAAGGATAAACATAAGGAAGTATGTAGGGACAAAATTAGAAAGGTCAAGGCACAAAATTGAGATTAAACTAGCTAGAGACAAAAAGGGTAACAAGAAAACATTCTCCAAATACATTAGAAGCAAGAGAAGGACAGGGTAAGCCTGTTAATTGGGCGAGGGGTGGAAGAAACAATAACAGAAAATGTGGAAATGTTTGAAGTGCTAAATGACACTTTTGTTTCAGTTTTCACCAAAAAGGTTAGTAGTGATTGGACGTCTAAAATAGTGTGAATGCCCTTGAAAATGAGGTAGGATCAGAGGCTAAAATAGGGGAAGAACAAGTTAAAAATTACTTAGACATGCACTTCTCTCTTATAATGGGCTATACCAGGGATGCAATTGGCTCATTGGGCCTTTTTATGCAGCACATATTCCATTTAATTGCAGCCTGAAGGATGACAAGCCTGTTCAGTGTGGACAGTATGATGGCCTGGTGGAACTAGCCACTATCTGTGCTCTCTGCAATGACTCCTCTCTGGATTATAACGAGGTGAGTGTACTGGATCCTTACCACATTCGCCAAACCAGCTGCACAGAGGTTTTTTTAAAGATGTTCCTGCTGACAATAACTAAAGACCCTCCTCCCCCATGCACACGAGGAGAGATCATAAAGTAATGGAGTCAAGTAGTTAGTTTTGTGTCCATATCAAATTTGTTCCCATGGCCTACTTTGCATGCAGAGGTTGGGATAGCATTGGCCAAGATGTTCCTATAGAGTGCCCCACTCTGTTGTGTTCGACACAGAGGACACACACAGATTTCTGTGCTTTGTTTGCTCTGCAGCGAGTCCTTTTAGCTTCTAGATGGACTTGTAACCTTTATCTTTGTGTAATGGAGGCAGTAGCTGCTCTGTCCCTTCAGTTGAGCGGAACTGAACTACGCATGGGTGGATTTTCAGACGAGCGGCTGCCTTTTGCAAGTACAAATGCACCTGCCTTCATTTTATACCTGGGCTCATATCCTTGCACCTGTGTGGGTGCAAAACAGATGGCCAGAGGCACAGATTCAGAGGTTTGCGCTCCCCAACCCCTGCAATGTATTTGTGGGAACAAACTTTTCAGGCACCAATTGAGCCTGTACCAAAGGAAGCTGGGCCTTGCTGGGCTTGAAAGTATTCCCCAAAACTATGTGCATCATCCTTACAGGAAGATTGTTACACAAACACAAAGCAGGATTATTCTGACTTGAGCAGCAAGTCAGCTTGTATTACAATCTCCAGCATTTAATGCGCGGTCTGAGTTGACTCCAACGGCAGCCCTAGAGTGAGAGCGATGCTGTTGGAATCTCAAGAACAGTGCAGTAAATAAAATCATCCTGGACTTAGTCGTGGAGGTTAGGAGACAGAGGTCATACAGCTCATGGTTTTTCTTTTACTGAATGTTTGTGTTCCTTTCTTACTGCCGGCCAGTCAAAAAAAGCCTATGAGAAGGTGGGAGAAGCAACCGAAACAGCCCTGACCTGCCTGGTAGAAAAGATGAATGTCTTCAACACTGATACAGGCAACCTCTCGAAGGTGGAGAGAGCCAATGCCTGCAACTCGGTGAGTAGGATGAAGGGACAAAACCCATGTGGTCCCTTTCGTCGGGGAGTGAGGGAAGGGGCGGAGGGAGATTGCATGACTGCTTGTGCAAGAATTCTCCCCGAGTTACCAGGATAAGATGTGATGTGATGGGATTGGACTGGACTGACCTATATCTGATTCTCAACCACTTGAGCTCTCAAAGGAAATGGGATACCTGCACCCTAAGACAACATCTCACCACCCAGGCCAGGATTTCCAGAAGTAACTAGTGATTGGAGACTCCATAAAAGTGCCTGGTTTTCAGGAAGTGCTGAGCCACCCTTCCTCTGAAAATCAGACCCTATTAAAGTGGTTCAAATCGGGCATCTAAAGCCACTAGCCCCACCTGAAAATCCTGGCCTTCGTGTCACAGAGTAAGTCTACACATCGAAAGCTGTGCACTGGCTAGCCTACCTGAGCCAGCTAGACTCTAGGATAACAATGGTAGCGGGGACAGCTTTAGCCACCAGTAGTACAAGCCCAGCTCGGACCCTGTGTACGCCTTCAGCTCACTAGCTCCAAAGCCTGCACTGTTTTCACTACTACTGTTACCCGCAGTAGCTTGATTCAAACTAGCTCATGTAGGCGAGCCCAGGCACGGCATTTCCTGTGTAGAAATACCCTTTGGCTACACTACAGGGCTGAGATTTGCAAAGCTAGCGTGGTTAGCTGGCCACTTCCCATGAATTATAATGGGAACTGAGCATCCAAATCCCTTAGTTGGCTTTGACGGTCATCAGCCTAGATGTTCAAAGGCACCTGAACAGAGTGCTCCTTTAGATGCACTATATGGAGCTGGGAGTGTCCGTCTAGACCAATAGGATGCACTGAGCTCCATTAGACCTACCATAAAATGGTGGCTATGTCTACCCTAGGCTTTTGCGCAAAAAAAAAAAAAAAATCCTCCCTTTGCTCCCATGATGGAGCTGAACCATGGTAGCTATAGTGGGTGCGCTGGCCTAGGCAGAGCACCCGCCATCTGCTGGTTTTCTAAGTACCATGTTATCTTACCCTGCTCAGAGCAGGTCTGTATCATACACCTGTTGGAGCACTGTCCATGCTAGCGCTCCCACTGATGCTATCTATTGCCAATGGAGGTGAACCAGTGGTGACAGCGGTGGGTGATTTGGAGGACTAAACCAAGTGTAGACAGGGTTTCTGTGTCTTAAGAGGTGGTGTGAAAGTCATGATGAAACTGGGAAGCTTCTTTTGCATCTAGCTTCCATTTAATGGAGTTGTACCAATTTCTGCTATAAACCTGCACATTTTTGCACAGATTGGAGAGTGTGTTTTTGGCAGGAAAACTGTCCCTCTTTATTTACTTATTTAGATTTAAATAACCATTATAGGTGCCCTCATGATTAGACTTACAATTGCAAATGATGACCATCCAATAGAAAAAACAAATCATAGACAAATAATGAATGAATTCAGCCAAGCAAAAAAAAAATCAAGTCAGCAAGACAGTCATTTAACATCCCCTCACTAGCCTCCCAGAAATGCACTTTCAGGATTCTCCCAAAGTCCTGTCAAATAAATGTTTTTTTATGGGATAAAATCTTTGTTCTCTGAAGGCCAAGCACCTGCCAGATTTGTCTGGCATAATACTAAAGTGATCATGCAAGAGGAAGTGTTCATAAATCTTTGACGCTCAGACAGGAGTGGATCTAATGAGGCCCAGCAACTATCTTGCTGGAATCTTAGCTGTATAAATTTATTTAAAATAGCAAATGCAATAAGATCAGTTATGGCCTAAACAGGTAGAGAGCATGCACGCGTGTGTGTGTGTGTGTAAATACATTTGCTTTAAATAAATAAAATTTTGCTTTAAAAGCGTGTTTGTGTGTGTACATGTAAAATAACATCCCTAAAATACAAAGCCACAATACACTACATGCAAAACCTTCTTATAAACACAGCCTGAGTGCATAAAAGGGCATGAACGCACACTAATATCGCAGATCTTTGTCTTTCCATTCTGAAACTTGGAAGAAAAAAAAATGTGCAAGATGCTTTCTGTGCAAATGAATTTTAATGCTAAGCTGCCACATGCTGCCTGTCAAGACTGTCTGGTGCAAAACCTGTCCCCAAAGGAGCCTAATTGGAAAATACATAGTTCAAAGCATGCACAGAGAAGGCAGGGGAAGAAAAGTTAATTTGGCAAGGGCCTGGTCCAGAACTTTTCAAGTCAATGGAAAGGTTCCTGTTGACTCCAGTGGGCTTTGGATCAGGCTTTAAATGTCTTGATATTTATCATAAGGTTAAAACTGGAGGAGAAGGCTATGTATTTCCCCCTCTCTATATTACAGTAGCTGCAACTGAAATCAAATTAGGCAGTCATTTTTGGGAAAGACTTAAATACCACTGCCTTCCCACCACCCCAGAAAAAGGCCCAATCTTACAACTGCACGACCTCAAGCCAGAACTTAAAATGACTGTTTTGGCTTCAGGAGTGATAGGCATATACAACCAGATCCTAAATATGAAGCCAATGGCAATAATATATAAGAGCTGATCTTCTAGCCCATAACGTGTGTGTGTGTGTGTGTGTGTACGTACACACAGCTTCTATCACCATAGTAATGGAAGAGGAAAAACTGAGCCTTTCTGATAACAAGAGCGTTTGGTTTGAAGTTAAAATATTTTTCTACCTGTTGATTAATACCCAGTGCGGTAAAATGTTGAGTGCAATGCTTGTCTAGCATGGGACTCAGTCTATCCCAGTACAAAGTGGCTGCAAAGGAAGAGAGTTTGATGGTCTGTCCATTTCACTTCCAAATATTGAATGAATTCATGGTGCCACTTGAGCTCAGATTGAAGGAGCAAAGGAGGTTAACGCACCTGGATGCAGTTGAACTTGCAGGTGGCTAAATTACCTTGGGAAAGCTGTGGGGCTGAAAGTCCCCTCTGATGCTTTTCCTATTGTTGCTTAAATTACAGAAGTCGCCTTGCCACCCTGACGAGTTTGTACATTTTTTTTTGACTTGCGCAGTGTGTTGACTCATCAGGCCCATTAGATAAAATCAAGTAGGGCCTGGCCATTGCCAGACTCTTTGCCTGCATTTGACAGAGCTAGTTGCATAGGGTTGCCAGGCGTCTGGTTTTCACATCCTGCATCCCCCTGCCCCAGCTCTGAGTCCGCACCTGCACCCCAAGCCCCTCATCCCGAGCCCGCACCCCCAGCCTAGAGCCCATGCCCCCACATCCCAACCCCCTGCCCCAGCCCAGAGCCCTCTTCCACACCCCAGAGCCTGCACCCCCAGCTGGAGCCCTCCCCCCTGCACTCCAACCCCCTGCCCCAGTCTGGTGAAAGTGAGTGAGGGTGGGGGAGAGCGAGCGATGGGGGGCGGGAATGGAGTGAGCGGGGGTGGGGCCTTAGAGAAGGGGTGGGGCCTCAGGGAAGGAGCAGGGGTGTTTGGTTTTGTGCCATTAGAAAATTCGCAACTCTATAAAGCACCCTGTTGAATTTGGCACGTCTGTCCTGCCACAGGTAATCAAGCAGCTGATGAAGAAAGAATGCACCCTGGAGTTCTCCCGTGACCGCAAGTCGATGTCTGTCTACTGCACTCCTGTCGGTTCCAGCCACAACTCTGCTGGCAGCAAGATGTTTGTCAAGGTAATGGACGCATGCTGCATTGCCTGGTGCAGGGGGCTCAGTGTGGGAGAGCTTGTGATTGTTCCACATGCGGAGTGAGGGTGGGAAGGAGCTAGCGTATCTCTGGGATGCTGCAGGAATTGTTCCTGATCTCACTTTGGGAGCCTCTAGGTGCTACTGTAATATGAATAGCAATAATCATCTTCTTCCCATGTCCACTTGTGCAGTTCAGAGCAGGATTAGGCTTTAATACCGAAAGCCATCATAATCCTCTTTAATAAAGAGGGTGGAACTTCAGTCCCTAGAATGCTGGCATTTCCTAGATGGCTGCTCTGATGGAAGCAGTGTGTGTTCAGTCTGCAAAGGGTAAAAGTTCTGGATATCATTGTGGGCTTCAGGATGTCCTAGGGAGCAGAGCTCCTGAAAGTGCAGGGTAGTTGGAGGGCTCGAGAGCAAGACACTGCTTTGACAGCTTTATTTCAATGCAGGAAAACCGCTGCACTTCCCTCATGGCGGCTTGTGATCAGTAACCCAGCGTTTTGGGTTATCCAAGTTGGTTTTCCTCCCAGTCCCAACCTTATGGAAAACCAAATGTCACTTGTCACCTCGCGGCTATTTTCCTAATGGCCTGGAGGGATTTCAGTTAGTGGACAAGATGATATGGTTAGGAGGGAGGGATAATTGGTTCATTGAAGCAATAACACAGCTGAAGTTTTGGGGTTGCTTGTTACAAGTGTCTTCACTATCAAAAGTTTATGAGGAATTATAGTCCACCTTGTGATGTTCCTTGCAATGCTTAAAAGGAGAGAGAATCTGAGGTGGGATTTTAAGAGGCGCTTCTGCATCTAAACCAGTTAGGTCCTTGTGAACATCCTCCCCTACCCCTATGTGTCCAGTAGGGGGGACCCATTATGTATAACAACGGTGGACTCGGTCAAGCCTTCTTGACCTTGCCTCCATCCAAATCTGAGTTCAGTATTATGGTACCAGGTCAGGTAATTCAGGGAAACATGCAGATCATTTAGGGGAAGTCTGCACAGCAAGCAGCAGCCTGCTTCAGCCTGGGTCAACACAATCGGGCATGCAGGGCTCGAGCTGCCACGCTCAAAATAGTCCTGTAGATGCTGCAGCTCGGGATCCGAAGCCCACCCTGTCCTCAGGCTTCGGAGCCTGTACGTGGCTATTTTTAGCACGGTAGCCTGAGCTCCATGAGTCCAAGGCTGTTGACCCAGGCTCTGAGACTTGCTGGCGCAGGCTGTGGAGATGGTCCCTTAAAGACTAGACTGATTTCTCCCTCAGTCTGGATTCTTCTTTCTAGTGACTTGAACCAAGTCCATCTTACCAGCCACCCCTGTTCCCGGCACATAACCTTTGGTGCTGGAGGACCGAAGCTTTCTGTGGGCATCACTGTCTTTAAACGCTGACGAGATAGTGCCACCTAGAGGAAGCTAAGGATATTGAGGAAGAACCTGTGCAGTGGGCTCATCAGACTATGGCTATACTACAGATCTTACAACGGCATCGATGCCACTGTAGCGCTGCTAGTGCAGCCGCGCTATGCTGACGGGAGAGAATTACTCCAGCCCCTACGAGCAGCGGTAACTATGTCGGCAGGTGAAGCTCTCCCACCAACATAGCGGTGTCCACACCAGCGCTTACGTCGCTCAGGGGGGTGGCTTATTCACACCCCTGAACGACATCACTTATCCCGACGTAAGCTATAGTGTGTACATAGCCTTAGTTTCAGGATGGCTATGTTTTGTGGTTTTGTCTCTTGAACATATTATCTCCTTTTCTGAGACATTCTGCACTCCGTGACATGCTGTCTTCAGTGACTGCAGTATGCACTGAATACCCCAGGGGTTTAAAATTGGCTTTTGTTGATGGTTAGGGAAGTTTTCACTCAGTTGTGCTTTGCTCAGAAGGTAGGTTGCGAGGAGGCATGTGTGAGTGACTCTTGTTCCTTTTGTTTCCAAAGGGCGCCCCTGAAAGTGTGATCGAACGCTGCAACTACGTCCGTATTGGCACTAACCGGGTCCCCCTCACGCTCTCCACTAAGGAGAAGATCTTGTCCAAGATCCGGGAATGGGGGACTGGCATTGACACCCTGCGCTGCCTCGCTCTGGCCACCCGGGACACCCCCTGCAAGAAAGAGGACATGCAGCTGGAAGACGCGACCAAGTTCATTAACTATGAGGTGAGGAAGTGTTAAAAGTGACCCCTGGGGACAGAGCATGGGGGCCATTTCTTGAGAAACAAAGGGTTTGCTCCAGCTCTCCTTCCCCTGGCACAGATGCTGACGGGAAGGGCTCTGAGAGCAGCTGCTTGGAAAGCAGAGTGGGGAGGATGCGTTGGAAATGCCGGGCTCCATGTGCCAGGGGTGTGGTGAAACTCCAAGCTGGGGACTCTTCTGTTTCCTTTCTGCTCATGTAACTTATTTTGCTTCCTAATCCTGATCACTGCCCCTCCAGGAACACGCCGTGCTGGCTGCAAATGCATTTCCTTCTTCTGCTGAGTTTTCCCACCAACTTACAGATGTCTCATTGGAAGTTCTAACAGACTCGGTGGTTCCGACTGGTCTCTGAGGGTGTCTACCGGAGAACCAAGTAGCCCAGTAGTCCTGCTGTTCTGTTGCAAACCATAGCTGCTAAGAACCGTGTGACAGATGCTAGTCATGATGCATAGACCCCAGTTCAGCAAAACACTTAAACATGTTTAAGTCCCATTGACTTGAATCCATTGACTCAAGTACATAAGAATGGCCATACTGAGTAAGACCAATGGTCCATCCAGCCCAGTATCCTGTCTCTTATAGTGACCACTGCCAGATGCTTTAAAGGGATTGAACAGGACAGTGCAATTTATTGAGTGATCCATCCCCTGTTGTCCAGTCGTAGCTTCTGGCAATCAGAGGTTTAGGGACACTCAGAGCATGGGGTTGCATCCCTGATCATCTTGGCTTATAGCCACTGATGGATCTATCCTCCATGAACTTATCTAATTCTTTTCTGAACCCAGTTATACTTTTGGCCTTCACAATATCCCCTGGCAATGAGTTCCACCAGTTGACTGTGCGTTGTGTGAAGAAGCACTTCCTTATGTTTGTTTTAAACCTGCAGCCTATTGAGCATGTGCTTATGTGCTTTACTAAATCTGGGCCTTTATGCACTCCCAGGAAGCATGCAGATACCAAGGTGATGGGCATGGCATAAGAACCTAAACAGAATGCAATGAATAGCAACCCACTACAGTCTGTCAACTGGAACCTCCCCGAAGAACAAATCAGGATTACAGCTGAATTATTTTAAATGGAGGGTGATACTCTTTCGGGCCATAATATGCTCCCATTAGAGTTAGTGGGAGTTTTGCCATTGGCTGCAATGGGAACATGATTAGGCCTTTTAGAGAGGAAAATTTGCCAGCGTCTTTAGATTTTCCCTACGTGGGGTGAATTAAAGGCAGGGAGAATGACATGGCTCTGTCCCTGGAGAGGAGGGGCATAGTGACTGTTAATGTGTTTCTTCTTCTCTTGCCCTCAGACTAACCTAACCTTCGTGGGCTGCGTGGGGATGCTGGACCCTCCCCGGAAGGAGGTGATGTCGTCCATTAAGATGTGCAAGAAAGCCGGCATCCGGGTCATCATGATCACTGGGGACAACAAAGGCACAGCCGTGGCCATCTGCCGGAGGATTGGGATCTTCTCAGAGAAGGAGGATGTGACGGACAAGGCCTACACCGGCAGGGAGTTTGATGATCTCCCCCTGGAGACACAGCGGGAGGCCTGCCGTTCGGCCCGTTGCTTCGCCCGAGTCGAACCTGCTCACAAGTCCAAGATAGTCGAATACCTACAGTCTTTCCATGAGATTACAGCTATGGTGAGTCATACACAGGGCCCCTCATGGGTTTACTCATATTAATCATTTTGTAAGTGTCGCCTCTGTTGTCAAGAGCAGGGGATGGGAGTCAGTACTTCAAGGTCCCAGTCTGAGCTGTAGAGTAGGAGTGTTGCGCTGTGCAAATAAAATTTTTTTATCCTTATCCAATCTGCAAATGTGGTCTGCAGATATCATAGAAGATTAGGGTTGGAAGAGACCTCAGGAGGTCATCTAGTCCAACCCCCTGCTCAAAGAAGGACCAACACCAACTAAATCATCCCAGCCAGGGCTTTGTCAAGCCGGGCCTTAAAAACCGCTAAGAATGGAGATTCCACCACCTCCCTAGGTAACCCATTCCAGTGCTTCACCACCTTCCTAGTGAAAAAGTTTTTCCTAATATCCAACGTAGGCCTCCCCCACTGCAACTTGAGACCATTGCTCCTTGTTCTGTCATCTACCACTACTGAGACCAGCCGAGCTCCATTCTCGGGTATCCACAGATTTGCAGGGCTCTAGTGTTGTCCATTGGTTTGGACCAAAGGTCTGGGAGTCAGGACTTCTGGATTCTGTTCCCAGCTCTTCTACTTACTCTGTGTAGCCTTGAGGAGCACACTTAACATTTCCCATCTATACAATGGGCCATCATACTACTTGCCTACATTACAGAGCTGTTGTGAAGCTGAATGTGAGCAGAGCACTTAGAAATGCACCACAGCAGTGCCAAGTGGTGGTGTTTAAAGAACTAATTGATAGATAGAAGTCCTGCCAACAAACATGTATGAATTAATGTGACCCAGACTTGGTTCTCAGGCTATGTCTACACCCTGAGCTAGGGGTGTGATTCCCAGCTCCCGTAGGCATACCCACCCTAGCTGTCATCGAGCTAGCCTGCTAAAAACAGTAGTGTAGCCGTGGTAGCATGGGTGGTGGCGAGTGGCAGCACAGACTAGCCACGCCAAGTACAAACCCGCTTGAGCCCTGTGGGTACATACTCGGCACAGCTAGCCTGTGCTCCCATGACTACACTACTATTTTCAGCATGTTAGCTCTCGTTGACTACATCTACGCAAGCTGGGGTTTGCGCCCCTAGCTCATAGTGTAGACGTAGCCTTAGTTTCATGCCTAGGCTGTTTCCTTCTATAAAATGTCCTTTAATAAAACACCCATGCTTTGTCCAGACGGGAGATGGAGTGAATGATGCCCCTGCCCTGAAAAAGGCTGAGATTGGCATTGCCATGGGCTCTGGCACAGCTGTAGCCAAATCTGCAGCTGAGATGGTGCTATCTGATGACAACTTCTCCACCATCGTGTCTGCTGTTGAAGAGGGCAGAGCCATCTACAACAACATGAAGCAGTTCATCCGCTACCTCATCTCTTCTAATGTTGGAGAGGTCGTCTGGTAAGGGCTTCCAGTTCACACCTCATGCTAGGATAGTAGGAGGGATGAGAAATATCACCAGGACAGAACTGTGGCACCTTTAAGACTAACAGAAGTATTGGGAGCATAACCTTTCATGGGTAAGAACCTCACTTCTTCAGATTCTTCACTTGCATCTGAAGAAGTGAGGTTCTTACCCACGAAAGCTTATGCTCCCAATACTTCTGTTAGTCTTAAAGGTCCACGGGACCCTCTGTTGCTTTTTACAGATTCAGACTAACACAGCTACCCCTCTGATACAGGACAGAACTGTCCTTTCTGATACTTAAACATATACTCAGAGCTATATCCCAGTTGGTGTAAATCGGATTAGCAATGACGCTATGTTGATTTACATCCGCTGAGGATGTGGGCCTAGATAGCAGCACCACTTTAGGTCCTGTGCACTCTGCCTCAGTTAAAAGTGGCATGGATACTTTCATTCATATTTCTACACATTCAGCGGCTGCTACTAAAGCCAGCCTTTCCCTTGATGTGGTGTGGGAACCTCTGGCTATTTTACAGCATTTCCAATTTTGAGCACAATAAAGGAAGCACCATGAAACACTGCAGTATGATCAAATACCATGGTGTGACAAATATGCTGATCCTTAAGTGACAAGTGCTGCAGCTTGCTATAAGTGCACAACCCCAGTGTGGTGCTGATAGATTCCTGTGAGGGTATTTGTGTCTGACGGGGTGAATGAGAGACTCCATTACAATGCTCACAGCTTCTTTCACTGTGACCAATTTCCTGACAAAGGCTTTCAGAACAAATCAGTGTGTTCTGCAGCAATCCTGGCCATGTACTGATTGCTTGCAGTTATCTTTGGAACCCCTTATGTCAGAAATTCAGCAGGGACATCTGTGCTGGTGACAAAAAGCACATTGAACTGTTGAGATGCCATGTGATGGGCTCCTTATGCAAATTTACGAGTCTGGTCCCCAGTGGTGAGATGGGTTGAAACTGCAACATTCAGATCTGAGTTTCAAATTCCCTAAAGTTTGGAGGTGTTTGAATCCGGGGCTTTGGGGGTGAACTGCAAAATCCAAATCCATGTGTGGATTTTGAACAGCACAAATGTTTAGAGGGCATTTGGACCCCGGGTTTTGGATCACACTCCAGTTTTACAAGTGCAATCCTCTCTCTCCCTGGTGTGTATCTAACCTAGTGAGGTTGTGTCTTTTTCACCTGAAGTATTTTCCTGACTGCAATCCTGGGCTTGCCTGAAGCTCTGATCCCAGTCCAGCTGCTCTGGGTGAACCTAGTGACAGACGGGCTACCCGCCACTGCTCTTGGATTCAACCCCCCTGACCTAGACATCATGGACAAACTTCCCCGCAACCCAAGAGAGCCCCTCATCAGTGGCTGGCTTTTCTTCCGCTACCTTGCCATTGGAGGTAAGAGGCCCTGGCTAGAGATGTAGTGCCATGAATGGACAAAGTGCCGTGTATTACCCTGGCTTAAAACAATTGCTTACTAGCGTGTGTCAGGAGGGGTGGGTCCATTGTGATCTCTGGTAATGAGGAGAGGCTTATTCACAGTGCAGAGAGATGTAGAGATGCGCAATATCCAGGGAAAATATATTCCTCATAACAGACCAGGACTTTCATACAACCAAAAGAAGGCAACCCCTCAAGAATCCATCTCCTCTAAGATCCAGTGCATTGGAAGAGTTTAATCAGCTCAGTCAGACATCAGGCAATAGCTGAGAGATATTTCACCTTCAACTTTCTGATCCGGTGAGAGGGCCAGCTTGGGATTCTTGCAGTGTATGCACTTGACTGCCTCTGCTAGGAGCCATCTTTTTCTTCTGGCCAGGCTCCCAGTTTGAGCTACCCCAGTCCCCACCCACCCATTACCTACGGTTCTCTCCGGCACAGGTAGCAGCATGAGAAGGCATTGTGACAGAGAGCCCATAGCAGCTTTGGGATCAGACAGAAGGCCAGAGTACAGAAGGGGATGGGCAGGGAGCAGGAGGGTCCCCACCTCCTGGGGTGGGGTGGATTTTTGTAGTGAATGTCAGGACAAAGGAAGCAAATAGGAATGTTGATCTAGTGGATAAGGTTCAAGAGACCTGGGTTCAATTCCTGGCTCAGCTACAGAACTCCTGTGTGACCTTGGACAAGTCACTTATTCTACCCTGTGCCACAGTTCCCCATCTGTAAAATGAGGCTATCGCTTCTCTGCCTCTTAATGACCGTGAGGTGCTCTGGTACTACAGTGATGTACCTACACAGCCTGGGTAGAAGGGATCTTGTTTAAGAAAGGGCAGAGGGAGAGACCTTAGCAGGGTGTGAGGTGAAGCTGTGGCAATGCAAGGTGGGGAGAGAGGAGGGAGACAGGTTCAGGTGCAAGTGTTTTCAGAATTATTGCTCCAGGCTCCTAACGATCTGGGATGGAATATGAGGAGTCCCCCTGTGTGGGTCAGAACAGTTCAGATCTCTTTTTCCAATTTGCTGTTCTTCCTCTACCCGAATGAGCAGCGAGAGCCATAGCACAGGGTGGAATCTACAGGTTCACCGTCCAGCACAAGGCAGTGTAACCCTCAGGGCCGGAGGTCCCTATGCTAACGAATAATATAGCTAGCAAGAACCAAGCAATTAATCCAGTGCTTACAGGGCTACACAACCTGCTCTCTCTTTGGTTGCAGTGTACGTTGGATTGGCAACGGTGGGGGCAGCTACCTGGTGGTTCTTGTACGATGTTGAAGGGCCGCAAGTTACCTTCTACCAGTTGGTAAGTTGTGGCAGGGAGGGGGAAGGGAAGACTGTTTCACTCGAACACCACTGCAAACCCTAATATCTAGGCTCCCCAGCAGGATCACTAGAGGATTTGTTTTCCTGCCTGTCCCCCTCTTTTAAAAATTAAATTTCGAAAAGTTCCCAAGTCATTAAAAGAAAATGTGTCAGCTGAAACAACTGCAAAAGCTCCCTCCCAGGTGAGATCCCATCTCCCATCAGCTGGTCAGCACGGTGGTGACTTTACCTAAAGAAACATCCCTCGTGTATCCCCAGACCTGATGGCCTGTAGGTGTGCACTCCACCCATGTCACTGTGAGGAGTCAGAGAGACATTCGTAGGGAGTGCAGCAGGAATTGCAGTTATTCCGCTTGATCGCTGCCACTCTGATCAGGTGGGGAGAAGGCAAAACTTCCCTATCGCTGCTTTAAGGCATCAGTTTTATGCCCCTTAAATAAACAAATCTCTTATTACTCGGTATGTTTCTAGTGCATCTAGTGCCAGATTGGCTACCCTGGAGACTGATTATTGCATTGATAACTCCTAAGAGCTCCAGCCAAGGTTAGGGCCTCATTGTGCTAGGTGCAGTACAAACAGGAAGAGTCATTCCTCGCCCTAAGGATCTTTCATTCTGTATAGATAAGACATGCAAAGAGTGGGAGGGAAAGCAGAGGCACTGGGAGGGAAATGGCCTTGCCAAGTATGTGATAACTGGTGTAGAACAAGGAATAGAAGCCATGTTTCCTGACTTCAGGTATGATTAATGCCAGTTGCAGAGGTAGATTTATTTTTTTTAATGGAGACACTTGTTCACTTGGAAATAAACTGAAACAACTAATGAATCAAGTTCACATAGACTACCTAGAAGCTGTCCTATGATTACTGTTGACCTACTAGATGGGCTGGATTCAAACCTGAAGATGAATGGCTTCATATCCTCTTATCAATTCCCCCTGAGCCAAGAAATATGTAATAGAACCACTGATAACTGGGGTTCAGATCCCACCAGCAATCTGCCACTTCTGCCTGCTTCATGCCTGTTACTCTTTCTTCTGCCAGAGGAACTTCATGAGATGCACAGAGGACAACCCCATCTTTGAAGGCATTGACTGTGAAATCTTCGAGTCTCGTTACCCAACCACTATGGCTCTGTCGGTGCTAGTGACGATTGAGATGTGCAATGCTCTCAACAGGTACAGTACGTATGGGAATATCCGATAAAGCATTCTGCCCTGAATAACATGTGAACCAAGCAAACATGTTACTGTCATTGGAGATGGCAATGTAAATACATTTGGATCTCTTAGTGGACATTTTGGCCATATTAGCAAGCCAGTAATAATTGGATCCAGATCCATTTTGGGTTTGGTGTTCAGATTCAAAACCACTCCGGGCTAAGGGTCAGGCTTGGATCTCACAATGCTGAATTCTCACTAACTCTTCTGGTAAAATCTGGAGCCAGAACAAGCAAATAGTTTCCTTTGCAATTTTGGCTCTGACCCATGGATGGATCAGGGCTTCACGCTGGAGGTTCTGGTATTGGCTGTCACAATGAGTAATATTTTGGTGCTGTATGTGTACCTGTCCAATGAGTCTGGGAATCTGGTACTGAAGGAATAGCATGACATCAGCTATTCTCAGGCTGACCCGAAGAAGAGCTCTGCATAAGCTTGAAAGCTTGTCCCTCTCACCAACAATAGTTGGTCCAATAAAAGATATTACCTTACCCACCTTGTCTCTCCATCTGAATAGTGATATATTGCATGAAATTCACTTCAGAATATTTATTTCCAGAGCCTAACAAGCTTGGAAGGAGAATAATGTATGGTAATGGTTAAGTAATCCTTTTTCTTGGAGAAGGCTTTTATGCAGAGATCTAGCAACATATTTCTACTGATTAAGAGGGCTTAGGGATATATTGATTGATCCAAATTATACTTGAGGACGGGTTATTTAGTGGGTCATTTGATCTAACCTCTGCCCTCTCGTTCTTGCAGTGTGTCTGAAAACCAGTCACTGCTGAGGATGCCACCATGGCTCAACATCTGGCTGCTGGGGACAATTGTCATGTCGATGGCGCTGCACTTCGTGATTCTCCACGTGAAGCCTATGCCTGTAAGCGATGCAGTTAGCACAACACGCAGCTTGTAGGGCTGTTCTTTTGACAAGAAAACTCCGTTGTACGTTTTACTTCCCAAGTCTTTGCTGATTTTCAGTGGGACTTCCCTGCCCAAAGGGTTTCCACGATCGAGCCTTGTGATTCAGAAGGATACAGGACTGGGAGTTAGGAGTCTTGGGTTCTAGTCTCAGGTCGGCAACGGAATTGCGGTGCGACCTTCAGCAGTTACTTCCCCTGTTTGTGCCTCACTTTCTCCATCTGTAAAGTGAATGTAAATGATACTTACTGTCCCTTGCCAAGTTCCTTGTCATTATCTGTTCAAGCCTTAATGAAGTCCCTCTCTTTGCACATATATGATCCGATCCAGAAGGCCTGGTCCCTTGCACATCTCTTACCTCAGTCCACATCCATATGAACAAAAATGGGTCTGATTTTTGTCTCTCTTCCCCCTTCCCTGCTAATAAATATATTGAATTCTTCCTGCCTTGCAGCTGATCTTCCAGGTGACCCCCCTGAGCTGGCCGCAATGGGTGGTCGTGTTGAAAATTTCCCTGCCTGTTATCCTGCTCGATGAAGGACTCAAGTACCTTTCACGCAACCACCTAGAGGGTGAGCACACTCTGCAAAGTAACTGCTGACTGATTTCTGTACCATGGCGCTTGCTTTGTGCTGCTTTGTGCTTTCAGGCACGTGCCATTAGCGTCTCTGCTGAAGTAAAGATTGGTCCATGCACACGCAGTCATACTTACTTTTCCCCCAGTGTGGTGTATTACAAAGGATCTGTCCTTCCCTATTTTTTTTCTTAATCACTTACAGTGGTTGACACTAAAATCTTGTAGTGCATTATGGACTTGACCACAATAAATTGGAACAGCCTCCTCCATTGTCTATCCAAACCGCCCCCCCTGATTCAACTCCCATTGAATGTTTCCATTGACTTCAGTGGGAATTGGATCAGCCCTCTTTAAAAATCTGTTTCTTCCAAGAATTCTTCTTGCCTTGTTCTTTTGACTCTTTCTCCTCCAAATGATGGTTCTGTCCTGTTTGCTCTCTCTACTGTATGACCAAAAGGTGCTGAGCACCTGGAACTTTGATTGACTTCAGTGGGAGTTGCAGATGCTCATCACCTCTCCGAATATGGCCCTCATGTTGTAAACAGGAAATATTGTATAGGTCTAGTCCTGCACCGTTTACGTCAATTGAAGGTTTACCAATATCTTCAATGGCAGTGGGTTTGAGCCCGGTGCTCTAAAGTACAGTGGATATTTACAGAGCTCTGTGAATGATATTTAATATGCTAATATTTTCTTCTTGTTGTAATGAAATATCGCAGTGAGCAATCTCAACATCCTAAGTTAAATCTTTCCTTTCTTTTCCTTTTATGACAAACACTGTAGTCTTTCAATAATTCAGCCAGTGGCCTTCAAAACTCTGCCCCACTACTTTCCTGCCATCCTCCTAAGCAGACCTCTGGTATTTGTTCCTTTATTAGTTAACTCATATTCTCCAGAACTTGGCACTAAATCAGAATCTGGGGTCTGACATTTAAAGTGACTGGGATTGTAGTAGATGAATGGAGACGTCTTTTTAAAGGGAGTTTACCCAACCCAGCAATGTTGCCAGAAAGAACATAGACATCAAGATGGGAAGCTGTCCCGCCGATCCTTCTTTTCAGAATTCCCATGACAGGAAGAAGGCTGAAGGGGTTCTGGCTGTCACCTTACAAAAGAAGGGAGCCTCGGTGGCCAATCCCAGGTTACTTTTGTTGCTCCTCTTCATTTTTAGCTTGCCAGAAGGTTGCTCTTCTTATCATGGGTGAGTAGTGGATGACCTGGCAGAGTTCTTTGACTGTGTTGTTTTTCTTCACCTTGGGTAGATACTTTGACCATATTAATAATCATTCCATTACAGGCAGCATGTGTCCAGGGTGCCTTTCTTAGTACTTCTTCCTTTTAACTTCTGAAGACAGGTCTCTTCTACCCTGTTGAGGAGGGATTCCTTGGGATTGTAATCATTAGGGGACAGCTTGGTCACTGGTGAGGACAAGCATGTGCCTTCTGAGATAGTGCTTATGAAAAGCTATCTTTTCAAACGCTTTGCTACCATATAGTTTGCGTGGCTTCTTCAAGAACACCTGTGCAGCCCCATTGCTTTCATATTATACACTAACACCTGATCAGTGGGGCTGCACAGATGTCCTCGAGGACCTACTTTGGCCCACAGAACTCTTCCATTACTGGGGATGATCCACAAGACAGACAGACCCCAGCTTGTCTCTCTTCAGCCTGCAAACTCACCTGAGCTCTGAGCTTTGTTTCATAAACAATCTTCTTGACTTACAAACTATGCATATTTTTATATGGAAATATTGAATAGGGAACCCCACTGTGCTATTTTTAGAGTCACTTTTTAGGGCAGAACCACCCTTTAAGATTGCCAAGAGCCACAAGTACTGAACAAGCAATCTTTCTGTGACTCTTGGACAGTTGTGCAGCCATTGTACAGTGACACCAGTCCTGTGTAGGTGCAATGGCAAATCTGAAGATGAAGGTTAGGTGCGCTCTGCCACCCAAAGCATGAGCATCCCTGCATTGCCTCGCTTCCTGAAATGTGCTGGCGTTTTCAAAGGTGCCCTTGCTTTCTTGCCAAGGATTAGATCCTCCTCCAGCTGGACTGTGTCAGAAGGTGAAAGGTGATGGTGTATATGCCAACGGCATGTCCGATTTGCTCAAGGATACGTCATTAGTAAGACCTGCCACTGCTAAGGAGATTCAGCTAATGTGTTAAAGGCCTTTGCTTTCAGAGCAAAAGTTCTCTCTAGATATCACCATGTAGTCTCTGGGAGGTCATCACATATGGTATAACGAGGACTATGAAGCCATCTGAAGCTGTTACAAAAGATAATGCAGCACCAGCTTTGGATAAGATCAGGCCCTATGGTTGCCTGTTCAGCACTTGGCCTTGTTCCAGGCAAATGCTTCCGATCCTTTGTGGGCAGAATGCTGCGACAGTCCTCTTCCTCTCTTGTTCACAAAGATGCGCAGTCTGGTGACTGGAATGAGACTCTCCTCTGGCACTGCTGTATTGGCCAGAGAGGATCATGGTGTTACAATTTCATTGGTGTACCCTAGTTGTGTGTCCTTCTACAACAACCTCTCTCACCTCTATCCAGTCCTCCTAATGGGCTTCTTCGGGTGTTGCCTCTCTATTGATTTAACTGTAAGGTCTTTCAGAAAGTTAGTCAGACTCTTGCTTCTCTCTACCTTACCCTCAACTCCCAATAACCAAGTGTAATGATAGTCTTGTGGTTAAGGGCTTGGGAGACCTGGGTTCATTTCCCAGGCTCTCCCACAGACTCCTTCTATGACCATCATCTCCCAAGGGGGCTTTGGCTGCCACTGTAATACAAACAAGAATTTCCAGAAGTGATTGCACCAGCTATTGATGATTCTAGCTGCTGGGTCCCATCTGCCATGCTTCCAACCCACCCGTTTGTCCGCACTGTTTGCCATGCAGCTGCATCATGCTAATGCTGATTTCTGTGACTGGCCTTTGTCTGAACTCTGCATCACAATCTCTTGCCACTATTTAATTGCAGCAAGAGAACAAAATCATACCAGCCTGTGCTTCAATTGTCACATTGAAAAAACCCCAAACTCCTGTATTTACTCCACCTAATTCCTCTGAAAACATTTTAAAAACCAATCCTTAAATCTAGCATTGTCATTTTTCACCAGGAATTCTCAGGACAGTCAGAGACACGTGGAGTGGGGAGCACCAGCTGAAAACCTGCAGGAGTCCAGATCAAACAGGGTTGGCTCTGTTGTGTGTATTGTCCTTGTCCATCATGTTCCTGCACCTGTGCCAGACTCTCTCATGTGCTGTGGTGACCTGGTTGTACAGCATCTCGGTGGAACCGCTGAACAGCACAGGCCCCACTCTGGAAAATGTCCTGCAATTGTTTAGTCTGTGATTATTATTCAATAGCCATAGGACAACAGGATCAAACAGCATCTCCAGTTCCTTTGTGAATCACAGAACTACACTGTTCTAAACAAGAAAAGCATGTGTGTTTGTGTAGGAGCGGTGGTGCGTTATCAGAGATGCTCTCACAACTAAAATATTATATTACATAGCCCCGAAAGGTCAGATGTTATGCAATGGCTTAGCTCCACTGACATCAGTTTACATCAGCTAATGATCTGGCCTCAAGGTCAGAATTTTCAGAAGGACTCAGCACCCGCAACCAGGGCCACATTTTCAGATGACGTCAACGCACTGGGTGCTGAGCTCTTCTCGTAATCTGGTCATTATTTTGGTGCCATGAGAGCTGAGCTTTCTAGTCCGAGTGGCCTCAGTTGTGGGTGCTGCACAACTGAAATTCTACAGAGTAGAGTGGTGGCTAGCAAGTGCTCGCTTGCCAAAGGGGGCTTAGCGCATGGGAAGGAGGAGGCTCTTCCAGCCATAGAGAGCTCCATAAGGCTGTTACTTCTGATAATGCTCTCGTAAAGGGGAGATTCCACTCACTACTTGTTTAATATTTGACCATATTTTCCCTTTTTCAAGTGTCAATAAGTCTCTTGAGTGGCTTTCTCTGCTAAAAAAAAACATTAGAGGCAGAAGTGCAGGTATCAGGTTGGAACAAATACATTGATGCAAACTCTGGAGGCTGAAAAAGTGTCGTCCCAAAGGCTCAACCTCATGCTTTACAGCTAGAAAATCACTTCTGAGAATGTAGGAACCGACAGACCAGATCGGTGCAATGGTCCATCTAGTCCAATACCCTTTCTCTGACAGTGGCCAGCACCAGATGTTTCAGGAGGAGTGGACAATTATGGAATCATTGGCCGATAGGGGAAGCTGCTTTTTAACCTCTGTGAGGTTGTGGTTAATGTATGGTTTCAAGCATAAGGGTTTTTATCTCTTTTATAAGGTGGGATTTTCAAAAGCACTTAAAAGAGTTGGGCCCCCATTTCCCATGGAAGATCAATGGGAGTTAAGAATTTTTGAAAATGCCACTAATATTTTTCACTCTATATAATGTAAGTGAGGCTCCTCTCATTATCCACATAAATGTCCAGTCCTTGTTTTGAATCCTGCTAAACTCATGGACTAATTGTATCTTGTGGCAATGAGTTCCACTGATATATTCTTTGTGTGAAAAAAGTGCTTCCTTTTCTCAGTTTTACATTTGTTGCCTTTCTGTTTGACTGAATGTCTCCTCATTCTCATACTGGGAGACGGCTTGGACATTCCAATTTACCATGTCGTCTCTCTAACCCTCATTATTTTATATATCTCTATCATGTCTCCTCTTACTCATCTCCCCTCTAAACTAAGCAGTCCTGATCTTTTCAGTCTCTCTTCACATGGCAGTTTTTTCATGCCTAGAATAATTTTCATCACCCATCTCTGGACCCCTTCTATATTTCTGTTCTAACTTTTTTATTTGAGGTAGGGTGACCAGAACTTAGCCTGGTATGACCAATAAGAGTGCATTGTTGGATTTATATTGCACAGAGCTGCCCAAAACAATGCCCAGATCTTTTTCCTGAGTCATTTCAGTTAATTTAAAGTTTGGAGGAGTAGTTGAAATTAATCCTTCCAATGCTCTTTACCTTTCATTTGTCATCTCGAAATTCCATCTGCCTTCATGCTGCCCTTTCACCCAGCTCTATTTCCTTGCCTAGTTTAGACTCATAGACTTTAAGGCCAGATTGGACCATCATGATCATCTAGTCCAGTGGTTCTCAACCAGGTGTATGCATACCCCTGGGGACACACAGAGGTCTTCCAGGGGGTACATCAACTCATCTAGATACTTGCCTAGTTTTATAATTGGCTACATAAAAAGCACTAGTGAAATCTAAACTAAAATTTCATACAGACAATGACTTGTTTATACTGCTCTATATACTTATACGCTGAAATGAAAGTATAATATTTATATTCCAATTGATTTTTTATAATTATATGGTAAAATGAGAAAGTAAGCAATTTTTCAGTAATAGTGTTGTGACCGGAGTCCTAGTGGGGAGCAGACTATGGTCACTCAATTAGGGTGAACTGCAAAGAATGGGGCAGACAATCCTCATAAAACTGGTGGATATTCCAATACTTAGATTTACCAAGCCAGCATAAAACAGCTTCTTTATTATCTTACTGGTTACTCAGAAGTCCAAACAGCACAGTTCCCTTAAAGTGATCCAGCCTCAGGCCTCCATCCAGGTACCCACGTCGAATCTAATGAAAATTTCTGTAAATCTTATTTCATCATATAAAAGAAAAGGTTCTACCAATCCCAAAGGATCGAACACATTACCTCCCAGGTTAGTGAATGTTTCAGATCTTACCCAAATACATGCTACAGCCAATTCTTATTAATTAAACTAAAATGTATTAAAAAACGAGAGAGAGAGAGAGAGAGTATGGTTAAAAGATCAATTTACATACAGACATGAGTTCAATTCATTGAGGTTCAGATTCATAGCAGAGATGGTGAGCTTTGTAGTTGCAAAGAGTTCTTTCAGAAATAGTTCATGGGTTATAGTCCAATGTTCAAATCTCATATTCAGGGCATACCAGCATAACTGGGACTTCAGTCTTGCAACTCAAACTTCCCTTGATGAAGCCGAAGCAGATCTGAGATGATACAATCAGGACCCAACAATCTTTTATACAATTTCATGTCTTTTGACAAGTTGGAGTTCCTCAGAGAATAAAAGATAATTAGGATGACTTTGAAGGAGGTCTATCACCGGTACTTAGCTATATGAATTAACATAAGACCATTTGCTTGTTCCTCCACCATTCACAGTACATTTCAAAGAGAGATGTAAACACGGGATATCTCGGTATTCAATTCATTTAAATGATAGGATGTTCTTTTGACCTCTGAATTATCAGAATACAGCATAGACAGGGACTGTTGGTTACATCATTGACTCTATTCATACATATGTAAATACACAAAAACACTATCTCTCCACATGGTTTTTGAGGGTTATTTATTTTGCAGGATGTTTAACCCTTTCTAGCCATGTGTCACAAGTGTGCTGTGACACGTTTGTATTTTTATGTCTGATTTTGGAAGCAAATAGTTTTTTAGTGAGGTGAAACTTGGGGGTACACAAGACAAATCAGACTCCTAAAAGGGGTACAGTAGTTTGGAGCCACTGATCTAGTCTGACCTCCTGCACATTGCAGGGCACAGAACCTCACCCAGCCACTCCTGAAATAGGCCCCTAACCTCTGGCTGAGTTACTGAAGTCCTCAAATCATGCTTTAAAGATTTCAAGTGACAGAGAATCCACCATTTACAGTAGTTTAAACCTGCAAGTGATCCATGGCCCCTGCAGAGGAAGGCAAAAAACCCTCAGGGTCTCTGCCATTCTGAGGCAGGGGAAAATTCCCTCCCGACCCCAAATACGGCAATCCGTTAGACCCTGAGCATGTGGACATAACCCCCTGAGCCAGACACCTGGGAAAGAAATCTCTGTAGTAACTCAGAGCCCTCCCCATCTAGTGTCCCATCACTGGCCATAGGAGATATTTGCTGCTAGCAGTCGCAGATTGGCTACATGTCATTGTAGAATGTGTCATCATACCATTCCCTCCATAAACGTATCGAACTCAGTCTTGTTTCTCACATCTTTCTCTTGACTATCTTTAAAAATTCTTTTCTTATCTGAAATGTTGTCACCTTGTTGTGTTCAATGCCTCTTCCAGATCATTAACTGCTATATTGGACACTACTCCTAGAATGGAACTTTGGGATCACCGCACTTATGATCTTTTGCCTTGTTGAAAATTGGCCAGTTCCCCACCTTCTTGTTCTGTCTTTTGGGTCAATTTAGAACCCATGACTGAATTTTATTCCCCATGACAAAGAGGCTTTTGGAAACGCCAAATATGTTGTCAATCATCTCTCCTTTATCCCCTAATCTGTTGACTCTCAAACTCTCAAATAGTTCTAGTAGATTGGAGAGGCATGATTTCCCTTTACAAGAACTGGGCTGGTTTATCCTTATATCACCTTTATTTAGTTTTTTTTTAAATAATTCTCTTTAATTATAGTTTCAACCAATTTCACTTTGGAGTGAAGTGTAAGCCCTAACCGGTGTGCAATTCCCAAGAACAGCTCTAGTGCCTTTGTGTAGGTGCTCTTGCTATCCTCCAGTCCTGTGCTGCAACAGTTGATTTTAACTAAAGCTTGCATATTTATGTTAGCTGCTCAGCCGCTGAGAATAATTTGGCCCATTATCTGCACATGAGGTCAATTCTACTTCACCTCCACACTTTAAAACCCTCTGACTGTTCTAGTGCTATGACAAATGGGTGTGGAGATAATGGACATATGTAGGGCTTGATTCAGATCTTGCTTACACTGCTGTAAATCAGGAATAACTCTGTCAATGAAATTACATCTGTGTGAGATCAGCATAGGGGCTACAGGTCCTTAAACCCAACATAAAGAGAAGGTTTTGCTAAACAGTGGGGATATAAATTCTAATGATCGTAAATAAGTCACAACGTTTAGGAAACACCTTCTCTCCCCTCCTCCATATCTCACAAAAATACCTTCACATTGAGACAATAACCGACCATAAAAGGCATTCAAAAGCACATGTGAATCTCCATAGCGATGCATTAACAATGTGGACTAAACAGTTATTGTCTCTAATGGAGTCTGAGAGCAGCAGGGAAGATGGTGGTATGTTTCCAAGTCTATTGAGTGTCCTTGTACGTTAATTTCTCTCTCTTGTTGCCTTAGCCAAACTGTCATGTGGAAAGGAAAAGAATGTTTCCAGATATAAGTCAGGTTGTTTGAGCTGAGAGGTGTTACTAAGGAGAGCATTGCTGCTCCTTTGGAATATGTCAACATCCACCTTAATGCCCTGCTGGCTTTTTGAAGGCTCTCTTGTCGTGCTTTGGGGAATGCAGGAAGAAAAGAACTTTTCAGGGGTGGTCAATTATATTTTTGTCAAGTCCGAATTTCTTGGTCAAAGTATAGTCAAGGTCCAGACTCCAGAGGAAAATAATAACAATAATGATAATAGTAAGTCAATAAAAAAGATATTGGAGTCCGTTCAGTAGCGTCTGGTGGTCCAGATTTGGCCCGCAGTTTGCCTATTGACTACCCCTGCTTCATATAATCAGATACAAAGGTCTGGGGTGGCTCCATTTCAGGGAGTCGGTGCTCATGAAAGGGGCTACAGTAGACTGAGACCCTTAGAAACTGGAGTCCTGTATTTAGCCAAAGAACAGGGGCAGCACAAACTTCCTCAACAATGTGCCTCAGCCGTTCCAGAGGGAGCATCTCAAGGCACAAGAGGTTATTTCAGTTTCCATCCCTTTTCAGGCTCTCTGTCTCAGCTAACGCTGCCAGCAAGGGTGCCAGCAGTATTTGGCATTTATTTCCAGAGGCACAGATTATATTGCTTTTTGTTTGCTGCCATATAGGTTGGGGGGGAGAGTGCTGTGTCCAAACATCTGAATTCCTCCAGTGTCGTCTGTCGCTAGGAGAGTGGTAATAAAACACACCGAAAAGGCAGGTGTCCATGATCTTGTGTGAGCCCAGTACACATCCTTTGGCCAAAATTTACAAGCGTTCAAAGCAGTGACTACATCAAAGGCTTCTGCATTGTGAGGCAGGAATGAAATTGGAGCTGGTGAAGTGGCCCTGCCTCTCAACTGGCTGTTTCTGCTGTCGTTCTTTGACTGATGTTCAGAAATGTTAGGCTGGGATTTTCAAAGCAGCATAATGCAGTTAGATGCCCAAGTCCCATTAAAATTTGGGGGAGTTTGGCACCTGACTCCTTTGGGCTCCTTTGAAAATGCCAGGCTTAGTGCAGGGTATGACAACCCTTCACATCTAAGGTGATTCTATTAAAAGCTTCTAGATAAACTTCTCAAAAGCATCTAAAGAGTTTAAGAGCCTAAATCCTAGGACTTGGACTCCTAAGTAACTAGGGTGCTTTTGAAAATGTTACACTATCTTTTTTTTTTTTTTTTTTTAAACTGACACTTGTTACCAAACTCTGACGTGTCAGCTCTGAACTTTACAAAGATCCTTAAAACTGTTTTTTTTTTTTTTACCCATTTGTACTGCTAAGCACCACTTGGGTGCTCAGATGATACAGTTATGAATGCAATATAAATACACAGACCGCTGACTGTGCATTTTCCATATCACTCTAGGAGGCATTGCTCATTTAGCCTGAGAGTTTGATGTGTATGGCTGCGCAGTGGATGAAACTTCCCTTTGCACACTGGTGAAAATGTGCTGTGTAAACTGAGGAAGTGGGTGTACTTGTATTTAATTTCCAGGGGAACTGGAAATGATGGCAAACGATAGTGTAATTTAGGTATTCCAGACATTATGGCTGGAAATTTCAAAGGAGTTAAGTGCCCAACTCCGATTGCATCCCAGTGGGATTTGGGCACCTCCCTCCCATAGGTTCTCGAAAATCCAGCTAATGCAAAGAAAAGTGAACAAGTTAAAAATGTCTAAAATATAATATGAATAATTAGCCTAATGAGAAACTGCCATCTTAACAATTCAGTCTAAAGTGGGCCTGAAAGAGATGGTTTTCTCATCAGTAAGCAGTAAACATAAACATTTTGCAAAATAAAAGTTCTCTCTTCAAAATAGAACTTACCTTACAGTAACTTGATTTTCCAGAGGTGAAGCTGGATCTCTATCATTCCATACTGCTTTGCAGGGCCGGCTCCAGCTGTTCTGCTGCCCCAAGCGGCGAAGCGGGGGGAAAAAAAAGATAAAGCTGCAATCGGCGGCAGTTCTACCATGCCGCTTCATTCTTCTGTGGCAATTCAGCGGCGGGTCCTTCCCTCCAAGAGGGACAGACGGACCCGCCGCCGAATTGCCACCGAAGACCGGATGTGCCGCCCCTTTGTATTAGCCGCCCCAAGCACCTGCTTCCTTCACTGGTGCCTGGAGCCGGCCCTGCTGCTTTGTGTCATCAAATGGGGTCCTTGTGACTCAGGAACATTAAAACAACAGCCACCTAAGAGAGATGCAGCAGTCCCACTCAATGAATAAAGAAACTGAAATACCGTCAAGTATTTGTAATTAACTTTTTTCAGTGCACATTCTTATTGCCTATAGGCTAGATTCTGCCACCCTCCCTTGTGTTTTATACTACCTTGCTTCTAGAAGTCACTATGACTGCTTGTGGGCTCAACATGTGGCAGAATCTGGACCTACATAGTTAAGATGAGATTTTTTTCAAAGCTGCCATGGGGATTTGGACACCCGTTCCCATTTAAAAATAATTTTAGCTCTCTAAGGCACTGTTTCTAAATACTCTAGCTTTCCTTTAAGCCATAAATCACCTAATGCATCCCAGCAAGCACCTGGTTCTGCCATTGACAGGGTGAAGAAATTGGAGGAAAAGGCTGGTCTTGTGGCTCAAACGCAGGACTGGGAGTCAGGAAACCTATGTTCTATTTCATGCTTGGGCATGACTTACTGAGACACCCGGGGCAAGTCATTTAAGCTCTGTGCCTCAGTTTCCCAATTGGTAAAATGAAGTTAGTACCTACCGCACAGTGATGTTATAAGGCTAAATTCTTTCGTGTTTATAAAGTGCTTGGGAATGCTCAGTTGAAAAGTGCTGTAGAATTCCCATGTAGTAGTACAGTTCCATGTTGGTTGTACTGGGGTTCATGTATCCCCACATGATGTATTGTGAGGTAGCCATTTCAAAAGTGAAGTCAAGCATTAAGAGCAAAAGCAGCAGATTCTACTACTCCATACTCACTGGATTGGATAGATGTGCATAGACACACCCTAGATTGGCCTTTTCATAAGCCATCAGGTTATACAGGGTCCTACCCAGCTGTACGACTCAGTGAAATGTCTGTCTCGATAACATAATAGGTGCTTGGCTTGCTTTTTAACCATAGCCAATTTCCTTTGTTTTGCAGGAGAAGAGGGCAAGAAATGAATGACATAAAGGAAACTCACTTTCTAAATAAAGAAACCCTAAGCTGTAACTCGGACTGAAGTCTTGCATGTTTGACCATCACTAGAAGCCAGCAGGACATGCATGTGTCCGACTATCAGACTAATGCGGGTGAATCGTCGAAAAGAAAAATACTGATTTTGTTTTTGTTTCGTAGCTTTTTTTCCCTGTACATAATGGTGCAATTACTGGACAGCTAAATTATAGTTTGGGGATGAAACTATATGTAACTGAGTCATTGTAACACAGCTCCTTGGGTGTCCGCTCCTGAAAAGTTTGAGACCCCTTAAAAAAAATAGCCCCAATGTGTGAGCTCAGTAAGGCATCTTTTGTTTTGTAAAAATGTGGTAGGTGGGAGGTCATGCTTTCACAGTGGTGCACAGTATCTGTGCATGAGCAATGATGACAGAGGTGCATTCCAGAGCTGCGATGTGGCATAACAGACAGCATCTCAGTACCAAGGAAAAGCTTATCTGTGTGTGTGTGTGTGTGTGTGTGTGTGTGTGTGTGTGTGTGTGGGCAGGGGAGGTAAGCAAAGAAAGGTGCATGGGATGCAACAGGTGTATTCCAATTGACTTCCAATTTAGTAGAGTGATATCCACTAAAGTATAATACCTAGGTGGCAATGCTAGTGCTCTGGTAGCCACATTGCCTAGATGTCCAGCTTTGGTGGTTTCAGTGTACCTGTATCCTGGTATAATTACCAGTGTTGTAGAAATTGTGGACATGTATTTACTTGCAAAGATTTTTGTGGTGGAAGTTGAAACTTCCTCTATTTATCATATTATTCTCTATTCTATTTTCCTCTTGTGAAAATCTTGCACCTTCTCAGGCTCATCTGACACCAAAGCATGACCCAGTCCTCTTGTCCTTTCTCTTCTGTATAACACCTTGTTAGCTCCCTTCCTGTGCTAAGCATCTCCACCTAAACAGCTTAAAACAAAACATGGCAATGGAGAACTCTGGATCCCATCACATCTAGTGCTCATTCCTGGTCAAATTTTCTGACTAGGTAAATCTAGATTACCTAGTTTTTAAAATATGACTACATAGAAGGTAGAATAAAAGACTTAAAAGGCAGTTGGCCGTTAGTTAATGTCAGTTTTGGGAGACAATCTGTGCTCCCAATATGATGATGAGAAAGGGAGAGGTGATCACATGGGAGCAAAGGTTGTCTCCCAAAAATTGACATTAAGACGTTAAGACTTTTATTCTACCACCTATATAATCTTATTTTTGAAACTCAGATAGACCATTTGACCAGGAATGGGCAGTAGATGTGGTAGGATCCAAAGTTCTTGATGAAGGGAAAAAGATGCCTACAGTTTTTCTTCCTTCTAAACTTCACCCGCGCGTATGCCGGAGCACCGGAGTCAGTTATTGCTTTGCTTTGCTATTATTTTGCTCCATTCCTATCTGGATCAGTTTCTATTTTATTTTTTAAGTCTCTTAAAACCCCCAGTGCTTTTTCTCTCTCTTCCGTGCAGGCCAGCTGGCTGAACTTTGAAAAGCTGGCTACCGTAGGTACAGTACGTGCCAAACACCATCCTTTCCTTTCTCTCCATCACCAGCATTGAAAAAGATGGGTCGCGCCCCCAGACCAATGGGAATGTACAGACTTGTTATACTACTGAGCTGATTTAATTGTACAGAAAACCTTGCATGAAATGTTGTTACTGTATTTAATATAGAATGTACTCAAGGAATTTTAATATGGAGCTTTTAAAAAACAAACAAACATCTTTATAGATACTGTGTGATTACAGGAAAATCGTTCACCGAAAAATCACTATTTGCTTTCTTTGAGAATTTTTCTTTGTCCAACATGTTTTGTATGTTTCAGTTTATAGAGCTGATTTAATTGAGCTGATTACACAAGCTGACTGATTCCTTTTTAGAGACCATTTTCAATGTGGGTGGAACTTACCCTTGAGCAGAGGGTCAGTAGATGATCCATACACCTCTTAAACTCTCTAAAGAGGGTTTAAGTGGGACTTAAGTGGTGTGTGGGCCATCCATGCTTCTGTACAGAGGTGAATTCCACCTTGTTTTATTACAAAGATCCCCACCACTCCATGGCTTTCTGAACAGCCTGGGAAATAACTGGTGGGAATTTAATCAAATATTTAAGGGCCACACCATTCAGCCCTCATGCAACCAGAGCAACTCCATTGCCTTTAGGAGAACTGTTTCTGCTTATTCCAGGGTTGAGATTGATCCTCAACATCCTGCCCACCCTATTGGGGGAGGGGTGTCCATGGAATGTAGTGCAACCAGAGCTGCAGAGTACCTGGTCTGTAAGTTGTCCCTGTTGGTACATGTTCATATCCATCAGAGATCCATATTGGATTATGGGGAGTCCCGGCCAGATCTGCAGCTCTTGTGAATCTCTGTTGCTCTACTGGAATTACATGGATTTACACCAGCTGAAGATCTGACTTGTGACTTTTTTGGTACCCAAATGTGTGTATTTTCTAAAGCTTTTGATATTATTTTAAAATCTGTAACAAAGAGGGTTTAAAATATTTACAAAACTTGTGTCTTGGGCAAGCATGAGACAGGCAAAGATATGACGTCAGTAACTTTTAAGTCCTCTATTAAATTCCTTTTGGTCATTTTGCTTTGCCTCATCTGATGCCAAGAAGGTGGGGACAATTATGTTAAGGCATTGTGATTGCACATTGTGAGGAAGAGGCAGGGGAAATATTAGGTTTTATTGGATTGGTTTTAATTTACGCCCAACACAGCTAAAATGCACTATGGTGGTTCACTGTGCCTGATGTTGGATTGAAATTGTGAAATTACAGGATATGAAATTCAGCAGATGGAGTGCAATAACTCTCAGCCATGTTCCATGCCAAAGGCTTACTCTTCCCAGTAGCAGCAGGTTTTGTCTTAAAATTCTGTTTGCCCTTTTCACTGTAAGCTTCTGGGTCAAATCAGTGGAACCTGCACTAAGGACACCTTCAACAGGTATTCACTCTACTAAGGGTGACCTATTTTAAAGTATCCCCATTTTCTAGTATGATCCCTCATTGAAGAACCGTGTCTCATTTTTTCTTTTGTTGCTTGTCACGTGGCTGGCTGCTTTAAGACTGGTTTCCCGATAGACATTTTGTGGTTGTGGAGGGTTATAGTTCAAATATTTTAATGAAATAGAAAAATGTCCTTAGATCAAAATTATTTTTCCTTTATGCTTTAGTGAAGGGTCAGGATAAATCGCATAGAAGTTGTTGTTTATTATTTGTATGTCACCAGCAATGTGCTGATTGCTTTAACATGCTGTAGTGTTCTTCTGCGAACCTGAAGATGGTTAAAGACCTAATCCCATTGATTTCAATATGGTTTGGATCAGGTCTGAATTGCATCTTACTGAAACATTTGATTGTGTGCAATAGAATGGAGATGTGCACTGGAGTGGCTTTATTTTTTTTTTTTTCCTGATTGCATGTTGCAAAAGGAGGCCTGTGACGAAAAGCTGCCTAGTCTCACTTCTGTTGGAAACCAGGATCTAGGAATCACAATCATTGCCTTCTGGTGTATTCAGATTCTTTATAATAGTTTAGTCTCTTTCCAACAATACTTCCAGCCAGCCTGGGCCATTACAATAGATCCTCCTAAACAAAAGGAGCAAATCATTCATCATGCATCACAGCCTGAGCACCAGAAAAGTAGCCTGTGTGGTTGTCCGTGAGCACTTTAAATTAATTTCTCAGGGGCCATTCAACATGTTGGATCACACCTGTAAAATAAACGTGGAAGGCAAGGAAGAGGCTCTCCTCTCTTGGGAGAGCACCAAGTGTGAGCATTGGGCAATGGCTATGAAGTCCACATTATGCTGTTTGAGGACTTGAATATCTTTGTGGCCGATGACTGGATAAATTCTCTCCTACCAAGAACTCTCCCATGGAACATCCATCATCTGGGAAGGGTGCATTATGTATGTGAAAAGACTGCTGTTGCTTGAAACAGCAGGGTGTGTTGGGGGGTAGGGGGGGAGAGATTACTAGTACCACATCTGAAATTTATTTTCTCCCTTAATTCCTCTATTGGCCAAAATATGGCCAAAGTTCTTGATTCTGATTCCATACATTGTCTGTTTGATTGGCATGGTGCCTTTCACAAGAATCTGGCACTGTCATGATGACATTGTCTTATTTACGTTTCTAACACTTGGCCAATCCAAGACCAGGGTGGTACCATAAGGTGTCCTAATAGTTAGAAATTGGAGGTTTGGCTTTTATGGGAAGAATTGGTGGGTAACTTTAAAGGGACCCTTAATTCATGCAACAAATGTGGGGCTGGAGAAAAGGGTTTGTAAATGGAGCTTTTGGGAAGCCCCATCCTATCTAGGTGCACAGTACAGTAGATGGGTGGGGTGTGAAAAGCCAGATCAACAGAAGGATCCTGAGGTGGCAAGTTTCAGTTCCTGTTGTACACTTCACATTTACTATGCTGCTTAGAACTTAAAGCCCTGGTCCTGCCGACACTCCGGTTACGGAGCTCAATCTAACCACCATGGTAGTCAATGGTTGTTGTTTCACTGACTTCAATGAGCTTTGGGTCAGACTGATGAGTCCATCCCATTAAATTTTAACAGACAAATGTTTGCAAGATTAAGCCCTAGATTTGTTTTTCGTATCGTGGAATAGCCACAGTCTTAAATAGAAGAATACTGCATGAGATTCCTGACTGAAAAATTAATGGGTGGAAGAGCTGCAGAAAATCACAGGATCGTCCCATCCCACTATTAATACTTCACATTCTGAACCACTGTAGACACAGACTAGGTAAGACCCACCAAACAAATATCCAATGGGGAAACCTTTTAAGAAGTATTCTCCAAGTGAGTTGCCTTGGGCTCTGGCCATGGTCCTGATTAAAGAAAAGAAGCTGAGCATTGATTGAAATGCCTTACAATGCATACAAAGGGTCTGCACTGGGATTTAATATCTTTATGGACCATTTGGCAATTTATCCATCATCCTTAGGAGTCTCCTCCCTTTTTTCTCCCACCCCCACTTCATTTTCTTGGTTGAGCATGTTCCTGGCATGGATGAAAAACACTTTAGACCTGCATAATGCTTCTCTAAAGAGTTGCATACATGCAACCTGTGTTTTCTCTATGCTGTGATATGTATTTTTATAACAATCTAGATGTTTTCAAAGGTTTTATCTTCACTTATCCCCTCCTACCATCAATCTACCTGTCTCAGCAATCCCCTACCCACTGATTCCCAAGGTATTTTTAATACTCAGATTTTCACTGCCACTTTCTCCCACCAGCTTTTGATTATCCTACCAACCCTCCAGTGCTACCTTGAATTGCATGTCAGCCTGTTCATTCAGCTTAGCAAGAGAAGAGCAGTGGAGGTGGTTTTATGCTGCCAAAATAAAGACCTCTAGACCCCATGAGGCTGGTAACAATGGTTTCTGCTGGGCATAGATTGGGATGATCCTGGGTTTAGGGTATGCAGGAACAAAATTAGTAAAAAGACAGATATGGGGGAGATACAAGTGTCCCTTGCATCCTCTCCTTTTGGTGCCATTCAGCTTTTGGTAATGCAAGAATGGAAAACTAAATGAGTCTAGAATAGATCTCTGTGCTCTGTATATACAAGAGCCTAGACAGGTAGGTGTACCCTACCTTAGGGATATCTGTATAGCAGACTCATGCCCATGCTATGTGGAGTCTGTGCTGTGTTTTGTCAGTGTACTCAAGACCATGAAGAGAGAAAACACTGACTTGTTTACAGGTGTCATTAGTGTCATGGCTTGAATCTCTGAACGTAGCAATTTGCTACGATGCCTGAGCAGCCGAATCTAGAAACCTTGTTGAGTTTGCACTTCCTAGTGAAAGATAAATTGTTACATCTTTTTAAAAGAGTTGTGTGGGGGTAGAATTGAAACAAACAAGGTTTCCTATTTTATTATGAGAGATATTTTTCCACTAAATTACTGATTCCTAAATGGTGTACTTTGTCTGATGTAAATAGCCAGGTGTATCGTGAAGACTTAAGAAGGGTCATTGTAGTCACATATGTATGATCCACTCTGTTCGCACAATATTGAGCTGATTTGTTTTATACTTACAAAATTACAGAAATAAAAGCAATTTTACTGGATGACTCTGATTCTGCTTTTCTTCCCTATTCATTATTCATTTTGAGGCCATTATTTAGCCCTTAATCTGTGTCATAAAAGATCTTGGAATGTGGACTCAACTTTTTAGGCCAACCAGGGTTTATTTCTAAATAGTAACAGTTCCTTAAAATTTGTTCAGATTCTTAACTTGAGGATTTTTGGTGGAGCATATTAACAGCATGTCCCAAAGGAGGTGGTTGATCCAAAGTCTGTTGAATCATTGATTTCACTGCATACTGTTTATATAATTGAGGGGTTAAAAAAGAAAATAAGGGGTCTGAATGTCACTAGATCACAATTTCCTGTGGATTCTGGTAGCAGCCAAGATAGAAATATAACATGACTGCAATCCCTGGCTGCAGGTGGTACATCTGCTTCCAATTCTGGTTGAAACTGGGAATTAGAGACGTGGCTATGTATGGTTGTGGAGAAGTTTTAGAGAGTGCAAATTCAACTTGAGGGTATGGCAATACAAAAATTATTTCCTAATGTATCCAAAGTAGTTCCCCGACCCTCAGCATGTGTGTTTTGAAAGTGTTCTGCATGTGTGGTGGTCACCAAAAATGCCTTGTGTTTTCACTGCCATTTAGGAATGTGAAATGATTGAGGGCTGTACTTTAAAGAGCTACATTCACAGCTTACTATAAATCAATGGTCCACTGCGATCAGACTCCACTGACCTATACACCAGCTGAGGATCCGGCCCAAGCACGTGTTGTCCTCCCTTTCTAGAGAGCTCATGCTTGTTAGCAACGTGCTGACCCTGAGAGTTGAAGCCTAGGCAGGCTTTATAAACAGCTTGTTTCTAACATGGTTGGGCACTGGCCAGAGGAACACACTCAGCACCTTTCTAGTAAGAATCCTGCTCTAATAAAATATAGAGGCTTTCTTTTGGAAATAGAGCACAAGAGCAGACCAGTGCTGGAAGAGCTGCCCTGCAACTGCTGCAGAAAAGGACACTTCATTCCCTCATTATCCATTGCAGAATAATCCTGAGTCTGTATAAGCTCTACTGCACCAGAATCAATGAGCAGCCTGACCAATGCATGCTGCAGGCCAACCACTGGGAGATGTTTCTGCCTGGGATTAAATCCGGGGAGCAAGGGGGAATTTGCTGGGGGAGAAGAGGGGATAGCAAAGTGAAAGGGGTAGGGCTGAGAAGGAGGGGGGAATTGCCTGGGCAGCCTCTTCATGATCTTCCTAAATTTAGACCAAAATCTCAAATCCTGCCTCTACCTGATGTTTGAGCAGTGAAGCCACCTGCCCTGCCCCGCCCCTAACTCTCCAATGGCTGATCATAAGGGCACTAACATTTTTATTTAGAAGTAAAGTTCAGCTTGGGGCTGTATCTGCCTGATTGGTTCCTTGCTGCTATACAAGAGAAGTGTCACTTTGGACAATGCCCTAAGGCTGCATGGGTAGGTGGTTGTGCTGGTGATAAGTACAACATCCTCGTCCTAGTGCTTTATCCAGCCTCCAGCTGAATTTTCCAATGAAGGTTTATCCTGTTTCCTCTCTCTGCACAATTCATAAGACATCTCTTTGGGGGAAAGAAACATCCGGGTGTATTTACAGCTGGCCCTCCCTGCTGGATGCTAAGACTGAGATTTTTTTTTCATAGCTGCCCAAACTGATTTCCTATTAGTTTTAATGGGAATGGTACATCGGACTCCCTTAGGGTGAAATTTTCAGGATTCCTAAGTGTTTATTTTAGAGTTGGCTAAGTCATTGCCAAGTTATTTGTAAGGTTGGATGTGTTGTCATGGCAGCTAAGGAATGCAATGCCATTTATTTTCCCCTCTTCCCCACATAGTTAATGCCAACAGAACTATTTGTCAGAGTGCACACTGTAGGGCAGGAAAGCATATACACAGAATAAAGCTGGAACCACAGGGAAGAAGCTTAGGGAGGTAAAGGACAAGTCAAAATTGGAAATAAAACTGAACATGCTGTTTTGCATAGACATTACATAGACTTATCTGCAAATATTTCCCCCCTATCGCTCTCACCATTGCATATCCATGACCCCAGCTCCAGCTGGGATCAGGGTCCCATTGTGTTAGGTGCCGTACACACACAGTGAGATGTTCCTTACAATCTGAGCCTGGGATTTTCAACAGAACCAAAGGGAGATTGAACCTTAAAGGGAGTTGGGTGACAGACGCCCTTTGGTTCTATTGAAAATCCCAGCCTGACTCACAGAAAGGCCATCTCGAGGTTCCTGCCAATCCTGCATCTAACCCAGTTCCACTGCATTATCTAGACCAGGGGTAGGCAACCTATGGCACACGTGCCAAAAGTGGCACGTGAGCTGATTTTCAGTGGCACTCACACTGCCCGGGTCCTGGCCACCCATCCGGGGGGCTCTGCATTTACATACAACAATAGTTTAGTTATATATTATAGACTTAGAGACCTTCTAAAAACATTAAAATGTATTACTGGCACACGAAACCTTAAATTAGAGTGAATAAATGAAGACTTGGCACACCACTTCTGAAAGGTTGCTAACCCCTGATCTAGACGGTCCCTGACAGGTGTTTGTCTAACCCAGGGGTCAGCAACCTTTCAGAAGTGGTGTGCCGAATCTTCATTTATTCATTCTAATTTAAGGTTTTGCGTGCCAGTCATACATTTTAACATTTTTATAAGGTCTCTCTAAGTCTATATTATATAACTAAACTACTGTTGTATGTAAAGTAAATAAGGTTTTTAAAACGTTTAAGAAGCTTCATTTAAAATTAAATTAAAATGCAGAGCCCCCCAGACCAGTGGCCAGGACCCGGGCAGTGTGAGTGCCACTGAAAATCGGCTCGCGTGCCGCAGGTTGCCTACCCCTGGTCTAACCTGTTCTTAAAAACCTCCAGTCATAATGATTCCACAACCTCACTAGGCAATTTGTTCCAGTGCTTAACTACCTTGACAGTAGGAAACTTTTCCTAATAATTAATTTAAGATTTCCCTTGCTGCAATTTAAGCCCATTATTTCTTGTCCTCTTCTCAGTGGTTAAGGAGAATAATTTATCACCCTCCTTTTTATAACAACCTTTTATGTACTAGAAGACTTAGGTCCCCCCCTCAGTCTTCTCCTCTCTAGAGTAAACAAACTCAGTTTTTTCAATCTTTCCCTGTAGGCCATGTTTTCTAGACCTCTGTGTTGCTCTCATCTGGATTTTTTCCCATTTGTCACATCTTTCCCAAAGTGTGATGCTCATACCTGTACACAATACTCCAGTTGAGGCCTTATCAGCACTGAGTTTAGTGGAACAATTACTTCTTATGTCTTGCTTTACAACACTCCTGCTAATATATCCCAGAATGATGTTCACTTTTTTTGGCAACAATATTACATTATTGTCTCATATTTAGTTTGTCATCCACTGTACCCCCCCACAGCCTACTCCTTCCTAAGCAATCACTTCCCATATTGTACTTGTGCAATTGATTATTCCTTCCTAAGTGGAGCACTTTGCGTTTCTCCTTATTGAATTTCATCCTATTTATTTCAGACCATTTCTCCAGTTTATCCAGATCATTTTGAATTCTAATCCTGTCCTGCAAAGCACTTGCAATCCCTCCCAGCTTGGTATTGTCCACAAACTTTGTAAGTGTTCTTTCTGTGCAATTATCCAAATAATTTACGAAGGTATTGAACAGATCCCTGAAGGACCCCTTTCCCTTCTATATGCCTTTCCAGCTTGATTGTGATCTATTGATAACTATATGGTTTTCCAACTAGTTGTGCACCCACCTTTCAGTAGGTTTATCTAGGCTATATTTCCTAGACAAGATAAATAGACCCTCCAGACTTAAGCACTACTGCCATTCGGTTTATTCTGAAGGTCATCTCCACAGCTACTATTTTTAAAAATACATTGGCTATATTTTACAGATGGAAAAATAGAGAGAGCAGTTCAATTCACCTAATGAATCAGCAGGGAAGATGTTGAATAGCAACCAGGAATTAACTCTTCCTCCCCTGCTCTAGTCCCTATGCAATACTCTATGGGTTTGTCTACGGTCCAATGTAAGCCCAAGATAAGGAGAACTTGAGTTAGCAGACCCTGGGTTTGTAACCCCAGGTTAGGAACTGTTGAACCTGGGTCTCACCCTGGGGCTCCAGCATCTACGCTGCCTTATGCGGACCTGAGTCCAACCATCCATATCCCAGACTTCCCAGTGTCCTCCCAAAATGTGGCTGCTCTAGCCCTTTATTCGTGGTGCTGTTTGGGAAAACTTGAGTGTCCACCAAACTTGACTGTCCAGAGGACAAAGAAAGTCGGCCTGTGGGATTTTGGGATACTTTTGGCGGACTCCCAGAGCATGAGTCCAGTGACACTGCAAAGCAATAGGGCTTGAACTCTGGGTCCTGGCTTGACTCAGGCTGGACCCTGCACCCCCATAGGGGCCTGGGACCCTGGATCTGAGCCCTGGGTTGATGCAACTTGTGTGTAGGTGGAAGGGGGGCTAGGCTTGAACCTGAGTTTGAACCCTGGACTTTCACTGCAATGTATTCAGACCCTAAGTGACAACCTGGATGCTTGCCTGTGTGATGCCCTAATCCCGCTCATGTTCCCACACAAAACCCTTTCACCTGAGTTCAGTGGTGCGTTCAGCCTGGGCAACTTGACCCAGCTGGGGCTACAGACTAAAACCCGAGTGAAGTTTTTCCTCGGGTAACCTGCCCACTTTGCAATAAGGACACAGGCTAAACCACGAGTGCTGATAGTCCTCCATTGCCTTCCCACAACCCCCCATGTGTTCTGCAGGACAGATGAGTTCTCCTACATTTCACTGGGAAACCATCAGAGCAGCTCAGCCCACTGCAGCGCTAAGAACCATGGGATGTGCCCCCAGAAGTCCTAGCAACACGCACAGGTGAGCGCAGCACCAGCAAGGACACAGTAACCGAGGCCGGGCTTTGCAGTGGGGCTGCTCACACTGGGGGCTAGGCTA